ATACAAATATAATAAGAACATCAAATGATGGACAAGTGTATGTAACAAAGTGACTTGCCATATATAATATTTAATTAAACTAATACTTATATTAATGCTTGAGATCTGACAATCTCATCACTTCGGCACAGATCTTGGTGGTGACATAGTTGGTATCAAAAGGCATTCCTTCGAATGTATGTAGGAGGTGGAATCTCCATACCATACGAATGGTGGCAGCAAACAGGTCAAAGATTGTAATCTTGATGTCGAGATTGTAGATGAAGTATTGCTTCAGGTTCAAATTGACTATAGATTGGTATACTTGTTGTGGATTGGCAACTTTGGGATATCCCAGGAATTGTTCAAAGATGTTGGACCAAATGTCGTTTTTGTGGGGAGGGGGGCAGCTAACCATGAGATGTTTGGCATCTTCAGTATCATTGCAGAGGGTACATTTGTCATCTTCAACGTTCCTCAGGCGTCGAACGAAAAGAGCTGATTTACTTGGGCATTGCTTATGGATCATTCTATACCAGACATTTCTCACAGAGTGGTGCATGTTTTGATGATACAAGTGCTTCCACTGGACTTTGCTGATGGATTTTCGGTGAAAACCATGAGGTATCCCTCGTGGTATATTGTTGAAAAGCCAGCTCCGTAGTCCAGATAGTATATAAATAGCTCTCATGCGATAATTGAAGGCTAAACAGCGAAATCCTAGCATATATTGGTAGAATAACTGAATGCCACACTATATAAGATGCCAAAAAGCACGACCTTGATCGTGTCATTGTCACATTGCCATACTTTTCAATGATCATCTGGAATGATAAAACAGCATTCTGCATTATAATATACGAGTGATTATGCTCCGGATAGTTCTCTACCAATTGCCCTTGCGTATCTTATCAAAATACTGCTACTTTCATTATAACTTCCCGCTTGCACTTGAGAACCCTTCACATCATTTGTGGATCTGACTTTTATGCGATGTTCCACATCCGTATACATGTAAATACTTCATATACAGGCAAGTAGCATACAGGTATTATCCCTTCTTAGTCGACAGTGTGGCTAATACAGTAAAATCTGAGTGCATTTGAGCTGCGTTTTCTCGCTTTCAAAGCCGTTTTAGATTGTCAGAATAGCACCAAACAATTGCTCTCATCTGGCAGTTACTTATTGCCACTATTGCTCAACTTTTTGGGGACCGAAAAAAAAAAATGGCCAAAAAATGGCCAAAAAGCATGAGGTACCCCTCATGGTTTTCACCAAAAATCAAACGATTGCGTTTTTGACCTTGATAATGAAGAATTTTACTATGGTATATATTAAATCAAATTGTTTCTATCGATCCAACGCAACCCCTGAAGCTATCTTTGTGGGGCCTTTATATGGAAAATCTCGACTTTTTGGCCAGAAACCTCTTTTTATATTTTCATAAATTGCTCAATAAGTTTATTCAAAACATCTACCTTACTTGGTACCATTGGATGCGTCTTGAAAAGTGCTTCGAAATTTTATTAGGAAGCAAAGGGTGATCATCACAACTAGTATAGTCGAATCTTACAAAAGAGTTCAATCGAGTCGAAAAAAGGCAAAATCTGTCCAATCTTGAACAGAAATAATGTTTTGGGTTTGAATCAATTTTGGCGGCTGGTGGGGCCGGCTGGCAGACTCAATGCCCTTTCCATCATGAAGGCAATACAGTAATAGATGCTTTTGAAGCGTATGGAAAGTAGGTGGCAAATCATATATCACTATCGCTAGTCGTGCTGCTCTTCTTGAATCTGTATTTAATAACGTCAGTCTATCAAAATACTTGTTAGATCAATTTCTTTCCTTTTTGAGGCTTTGAAAGTGTCTAGGGACCATAAATTTATCATGTTATGATATTACATACCGGCAAAATCTCTTGACGTTGAATTATATGAATATGATTAACTTATGTACAAGCGTTAAAATACATTGGTTACAGCAATTGATGGACAGTACAAGCATTGAAAGAAGATGTAATCTTAATAGAGCATAATATTGAAGCTAATGACAAGACGTGGTTGTTTTTTTATTAATGTGTATTTGAGTTTATGAGATCACCATACTTGATGGATTAAAATATTTCAGATTTTTGAGGCTATTTTGACTTGTATAGATAGAGGTAGCAGAGATATAAGAACGACTTGGCCTTGTATAGATGTCAGGCATTAATTGTCTTGATAATTGATTGAGTAAGAGGAAGCACAGATGAGAGTAGGGCTTGACCTTGTATAGATGTAGAGATGGTATATTTAAACAGTCTTGTCATTTTAGGAGCTTGTAGGAAGCACAGATGAGAGTAGGGCTTGACCTTGTATAGATGTAGAGATGGTATATTTGAACAGTCTTGTCATTTTAGGAGCTTGTAGGAGGCACAGAGAACTTGGCTTGATAGCATTTGGAGAGGACAGCTTGCTTTAGATGAGATAGAACATGAGATGGCAGAGGTAACTAGATAAAGATGAGATGAGTACACAAGTACTGTGGCATGAGTGCGTAACAAACCATTTGGGCAAAGAAAATTGACCATCAATAAAAGGAACCAACACTATATAAACAGGTACCAAGGTGTAAACTTGCTTCATCCATCACAAGATCATCGACACGCTCAAGCCGCCTCCATCTCCGGATCGTAGGGTTAAACCCTACTCTCGTCGGCAATAAAGCTTGTGATCATCCCGTAGCATGACCAATGGATTTGTCCTGCAGTCTACCCATGATTATGAAGCGGTGATCCTACTCAGTCCCTACAAAGTAGTTTTTCGGCACTATGTAATCAATAGGTTAGTCAACATGGCTCATACGTCCAACAAGATAATAACTCACTCGCACAGTTCACCAAGGTCTGCATGTATCAAAGATAGTGTGGCCTTTTTCTAGCATGGACCAAGAGACGTAGAGAGGACCATGGATTTGTAAGGCATTGTATGTAGCAGTAGTAGAGGCCAATCGACAGTAGAGTATTTGATTTAGATGACCATATGTAGAGAGAGAGAGAGCCCAAATGTCTTGTAGAGAGTTTGTATGTATAGAGTATTTTGCTTGTTGTAGAGAGATGAGATGAAGAAGAAGAGGGAAAAGCTGTTGAAACAAATCCCTATTTATATCCTTCTCATCGACTTTTGTGTGAGTCCAGTATCCTTGCCACACTCAAATTCGTTTCCTTTTACTTTTCTCCACGATATACTACTTTGAGCGCGTGAAAATAGTACCATTTTGACGTTTGACACTTGCTCTATTTGATCCGCTTCGTCCGAGGCTTTCAACTGTTTTCTGTCTCGAGTTATGTCCATTTTGCTACTTCAAAAAGCCCTTTTTCCACCTTCACATGAAACGAGTTCCCCCATCTCTTCCTAGATGTAATTAACAGACAACTTTTCACTGGTTCAACCTCATCAAAAAGTAAACAAAAAATGTCATTTGACACTGAAACAAATGCAGCTGGTTGCTTGATTAAGTAATCTTTCTCTACCTCCCCTTAATTTCTCTCTCTAAAATTACAGTTCTCGATCCATCTCTCTTTTTGTTTACATCAGTTATAAACTGTCCATCTAATCGGGCAATACGAGTGTTAAGGTGTCGTTTACATCACATCGGAGCCAGCATAACTGATTCTGGACCAAGAGACAAGCGTACACCTTGGAAAACAAGAGTGCCATATGAATATTACTGCGGCAATCTCCATGGAATGGAACATATTGGATTGTTTTCGAACCAGTGCAAGTCATCTTGTTTCCAGCTATCATGGTTGCTGTCAATGATGTCAATCAAGTGTTTGTGCTACTAGATATCATCAATATGCCCACATTTACATAGTGAGTTGGTCATTCTCGTGTATCATTCCTGCAACCTGTTTGTAGTTCTTACGCCAAGAGTATTCATCTCATAAAGAGTCAACACATTTCATGTCATTCTTTTTAGGGATTGTCCTCTTTTAGAAGGTATTCGGATCATGCAAAATCAAAACAATTCATTTGCTAGGCAAAATTAAGCTTTTAAAAAAATCACATGTAAAGTAAACAAAAGGACATGAATTGAAGAGAGATAAGCAAGTAAATGGCCAATTTGTGGTCAAAGAGAGGATATTTTATTAGAAAGTATGTACATCATTAGAAAGCAAATCGCTTGAGGAATCCAATGGTACTATTTTCAGGGTTCTAAGTAAAGTACACATCGCGAAATTCATCAAACAAGGCCGTGGGATTTCCAAAAGAAAGAGGTTTCTGAATTAAACTTCACCTGCAATATCATTTTTGTCTGTGTGCTATTCTGTTGCTTTGGATCATGTCACGCTCCTCCTATGTCACCAGCTTGTTCTTTTTGGGTCTCACGTTGGGTACGCTGTCCATTTGGGAAGGAGTCTCACTTTCTCGTAATCTTTCCTGTGAGTATCATTGCCGTTATATTATAGGGCTTTGAGCAATCAAGGGGTGTCTTTTTTTTTGCCAGCCAGAAGGAATTAAAATCTCGATCGACATTCTATCACAATTCGTTGATTTTTGATCCTTTTGCGACTTGATCGACTCATTTTACCAAATTTGACTATGAAAGTTGTAGTGATCATCCTTTACAGCCTTAAGCTATCTAGAAGAACTTTTCGAGGCGCATCCAATGGTGCTATTTATTATAGCTGTTTTGATTGAACTTGTCGAGCAATTTACGAAATTATGAAATGACGTTTTTGGCGAAAATGTCGAGATTTTATATATCAAGGTCTCACAAACAAAGCTTCAGGGGTTGTGTTGGATCGAAAGAGACATTTTGGTTCAATGCATGCCATAATAAAAGTCTTTGTTTTTGTGATAAAAAATGCGATCGTTTAATTTTTGGTAATTTTTTTTTTTTTTTTTTTTTTTTTTTTTGTATGGATGTTGCTTATTTATTAGTAGGTATACAAATATAATAAGAACATCAAATGATGGACAAGTGTATGTAACAAAGTGACTTGCCATATATAATATTTAATTAAACTAATACTTATATTAATGCTTGAGATCTGACAATCTCATCACTTCGGCACAGATCTTGGTGGTGACATAGTTGGTATCAAAAGGCATTCCTTCGAATGTATGTAGGAGGTGGAATCTCCATACCATACGAATGGTGGCAGCAAACAGGTCAAAGATTGTAATCTTGATGTCGAGATTGTAGATGAAGTATTGCTTCAGGTTCAAATTGACTATAGATTGGTATACTTGTTGTGGATTGGCAACTTTGGGATATCCCAGGAATTGTTCAAAGATGTTGGACCAAATGTCGTTTTTGTGGGGAGGGGGGCAGCTAACCATGAGATGTTTGGCATCTTCAGTATCATTGCAGAGGGTACATTTGTCATCTTCAACGTTCCTCAGGCGTCGAACGAAAAGAGCTGATTTACTTGGGCATTGCTTATGGATCATTCTATACCAGACATTTCTCACAGAGTGGTGCATGTTTTGATGATACAAGTGCTTCCACCGAACTTTGCTGATGGTATGATTGAACTTTCGTCCAACATCAAGGTTGTGTATGTCCAGCATAATTGATCTCAAGTCTTTGTTCGCCATTCGAAGCATTGGGCGGTCTTGGTAGTTAAGCATAGCAACGAAAGGCTGTAGATCGAGATTGCCTTCAATGTTTCTTGTATCCACAAAGGCTTTCAACTTGATGTTTCCACAAAGAAGACCTCTTTCTATCTGGCTCCTGATATTTGGTCGCCTGGATTCACTTCTTGGCTTTATCTGTAGAGTACTTGTTTCCTGGTTGATGTGGAAGAAGTCGTGAACTTTACTCTCCCTGATGGAGTCTCTGCTTGTGTATCCCATAGCTACTTCCTCATTGTCGAAATCCAGAATTTCCAACACTGGCAATGACAAGAGTGTCATGACATTTGGTTTGACAGGCCAAGCGAGTGAGGGCGGAGAATGCTTCATACAGGTATCTATTGCCTCGAACATCATGTAATAAGGGTGGAAGCCTCTTAACTGGTTTTTGTATCTAGCCGTTTGGAACAGTATAGGGATTATGTGCGATGGTGAGTCGTGCGACATCTTCAAATAATCCACTAGTAGCCTATAAGTGAGACCAGGTATGTTGTTGCTGTTTTCTGTCAGCAAAGCGTTCAGATATCTGAATTGCAGAACCTTTTGTTGCGCCATTATATCAATCAGTCCTAAACCGCCTTGATATCTTGGTAGGAAGAGAGAATTGCCCTTTAGAGGTGGATACAGGCCAGACATTACAAACTGATAAATGATTGAGGTTATCTTCTTGACTGTGTCTTTGGGCAGGGAAACGATCCGAATGACATGCTATAGTTTGGACAATATCATAGTGTTGGCAATATTCGCTCTGCCGTACAGTGAGACTTGTCGTGCTGCAAACCTTTCAACAGCAGTAGTAATATCACCCAGAAGTTTAGCAATGTATACGTCTCTTTGTTGATTGCAGAACCAAATTGGATAACTTAGGCATTTTATAAATCCTGTAGACATAGAATCGTACCATTTGATTTTGAGATTGTTTGCTGCATGATCTTGAATTAGGCCACCATTTTGGTTTGTCATTCTTCCACCGTGAAGAGGGAAGGCTACGGACTTGTCGTAGTTGATCTTGGAGTTCGAGGCCTTGTTGTAAGCTCTCAATCTTTCTTCCAGATCAAGAAGTTCAGCTTGAGGCTTGACGAATGTCAGGACATCATCCGCATATGCGAGTACTTTCAATGGAGGAGGAGCCACCCAACTGTTTGTTCTCTTGCTTATAGGCTTGACGTGTTGGAGACTATACCCCGAGATAGTTGTACCTTTGGTCACAGATAGCAGAAATGGTTCAATAGCCAAGTTGAACAGCATTGGTGATATACTGTCTCCTTGTCTGATGCCGCATCTTTGCTCGATAGGATCTGTTAAAAAGCCATTGACATTCACGTAAATTGAGTCGTCGAAGAATAACTTGCAGATGCATTGGACAAACTGTTTTGGAAAACCAAACTTCACTAGGGCCTTGGATAGATACTGGGGATGTACCCTATCGTACGCTTTGGCGTTGTCCAGTATAATCCCAGCATATTGGACAAATTCTCCAGAGTTGTTCCATCTTGCTTCACGTGCATTGTCTACAATCACTTTCAATGACATCTCATGGTCTCCAATGTATCTACCTCTCAGGAAACCACTTTGGTAGGGACCTATAAGGTCACTTGCTACCTCTATGACTCGTGAGTTAAGTAGTCTGGTAAACACTTTGCAAACAGAGGCTATTAGGGTTATTGGACGGTAGTTGCCAAGGTCAGTCATATCCCCTTTCTTTAATAGCAGCACAATACATGATTCCTGCCAGGATTTTGGGAATTTGCCTAGTGATAAAGCATCGTTGAACACTTGCAGGATAATCGCTTCACAGCTCGGGTTGATAACTAGAAGATGCAAAATTTTGTAACATATACCATTCAGGCCCGGACTACTACCATTTGGCGTTCTTCGAGATCCTTGAATGATATCTTTGTAAGGTATGTCTTCAATGATGTCCTGTGAGTCCCCTCAGCTGGAATTGTTTTGTCGATATATTGTAGCATTCTTTCCACACAATTGAGATCAATTTCTTCCTCGGTGTATAGGTCTTGGTAAAAGACTTTGGCAGCGTCAAGTTTAGTGCTAGTTTCCAAGCATTGTTCCCCGGAAGTAGGATGCTTTAGGCTAGAGATTGTTCGCTTGGATGCCTTTTCCGCTAATATTTGCTTGATGTAACCTGGAGACTTTCCACTCTTCTCATGCCATCTCTGTCCTGATCTCAGTCGTCGGATGTCAACTATCACTTGTTGGAGTTTGGATAGCTCCTTTTCGACAGGAGAAAGCAAGAGATTAAGACAGACGGAACCATCCCGGTACCTACGTAGCAAATTGTTCCTCTCACTCTGTAGCTTTTTGATTTTAGTTTTCTTCCATGAACAGTGAGTGCGGCTGAAGTTTTGAGTAACTTGCTTAGTTTTCTTCTTAATCAGGTCCCATTTTCTTGAGCAGGTAGGTTAGGATCTAATTTGGTTTCAACGTAGTAAGAGATAGCCGTGTTTAATTTGTTGACGTAGATAGGGTTCTTCACAAGGGGTTGGCCCGCCAAACACCTTTACCACAGTTAGTCATGCCAATAGTGTATGTCTTGGTTAACAAGGCATGGTCTGTCCATTCTTGAGAGAGAAATGTGGTATCATCATCACTCATTTTGAAGAAAGCATCACGGCCTGCAAACATATAGTCGAGAGTGGAAAGAGACGATCCACGTCTAAAAGTGTAATCATGCGGTAGATTTGGTTGGCTCAAGCAATCTGAAAAGTGAGTGTTCAAAAATTCAATGAAACTTTTGGGCTTTCCAGTTTGGCGATTATAGCGTTGACTTGTGGAGTCGAAGCAGCAGTTCATGTCACCGGCTATGATGAGAGAAGAGATCATCTCAGGCATGGAGTTGAGGAGACTGATGATTTGGTCGAACAAGTGATTTCTCGCCCTGTAGTTATCAGAGTGAGCATAGATATTTAAAATGTAAATTGGAGGCATGTTATTGTTAGCTAGTGATAGCTTGGCCAGAATAACTCTTCCGTCTTCTAGTATTTTGATTTGTTGTAGATTCAGTGATGGATTGAAGTTGATGACTCCACATTGTCCAGTCCAAATTGCTTGGTGGTACTGGAATTGATATTTAAAATTTGTTGTAATGTTTTCAATGGAATGGTGAGGAATATTTGTTCCCTGGCATAGTAATATATTTAACTTTTGTTGCTTAAGGTAGGTGATGAACCTATTTGTTGTATTGGTGTTATATTGTTTGTTGAGGTTCCTGCAATTGAGGGAACCTATCCTAATGTTAATGTTTCTAGTTTGGTTGGTGTTATAAATTAATTATAATGTGTTTGTAGTTGATGATCCATCCAAGACCATTTTATCTCTGGCATTAGTCTCTTGCTGTTTAATCTGCTTTTTGCCAGGACTTTCGCTGTCCTCTACTGGAGGGGTAGAAGCCAGTTCATCAATAGACCGCTTGGGATGTTCCTCAGTAGGTTCATCTACATTCTTCTTGTGCCCAGAGTGTCGTAAGTTATATCTGCTTACATTGTTCTGAATAACCTTAGGAGATTCCCCATCGCTATCTTCCTCGCTAGTAGACTTGGCATACTCCTCATCACCAAAGGAATTATTGTCCTCCTCCTCGAGATGTCTATTGGGAGCATCCTCTTGTGAGAGGCTACCGGCCTGAGATTTCCGACCCTCCGATTCAGCAACCTGAGATTCACCATCCTGAGATTCACCATCATGGGAGCCACCTTCCTGAGATGCACCAACTTGAGATTCATTCATCTCCTCCTGATCCCTGTTATCAAAAACCTCTTCCATTTGCATATCCTTGCTGTCGTTCAAGTTGGTTGAATGCCCTTGGACGTTTTCAGCGTCGGAATCAGACTCTGGCTCGTCTGCTGAAGATACTTCCCCCTTGGAAAGTGCCTCATCATCGCTGGGGATTTCGACGAAAGGGATGTAGCCTTCCTTCTCCCCTTCTTGTGGTTGAGGTACTTAGGAGGGTCCACATTCATTAGATCTAAAAGGCCAACCTTTCTAACTATAGGCTTAGGTTGGGCAACATTCTCTTGCTGGCGATGTTGACCTTGTTTGTTGTGATCATTAGTTTTCTTCACTCTATTCCATGAAGCTAATGGGCACCCGGCGGTGAGATGTTCCAAGCTTCCGTATCGCAAACATGCTTTCCTCTTTGTTCGAGGACATTCAGCTTTGATATGATCATCAGTGTGACAAATTGGGTTCATGTTACTCCAAACCAAATGCAGCTTCTCCTTGAAATCCCCAAACTGGATCTGAGGGGTAAGTTCAGCTGCATAACTCTTTAATTTGTCCCTATTTAGAGTGACAAAACCGCGATCAGTAAACCAATTACCATCCTTGGTATAGCTAAGACCAAGATTGAGAATGTCCCCATATTTTTGGAAGGTCTCCACCATCAAAGGCTTCAAAACTTCTTCAGTTTTGTAAGGAAGCTCAGAGACACCTACTCTGAAGACGTTGGCATTTTTTGTCCAAAGCCTTGTTCATCTTGATTATCTTCCCTTGTAAGACGAGTTCCTTGTTCAGAGCCTCCTCGCAATCTCCCTGGCTTGGGAAGTTGATTTCAATGACCGTATGGTACTTGCCAACCATACGTGTTCTAATTCCCAATCCTTTGGAATAGTAATCTCGAAGACAAGTGAGCAAGGGCTTCTCTCTGAATACCATACCAGCAAATTGAGAACAATCAATGACGGAGTAGTCATCTTTAGCTTCTACGAATGTTGAGTTGTAGTCCAAAGGTCTCCCAGTTGTGGAGGCGTTGTTGTCGATAGCTGAAGCAATGTTGAAGGTTGTTCGCTTCTGACTCTTGATATCTTGAAAAAGTGATGCATAGGTAAAAATGTTGTTGCCTGGATTATGGCTAGAATCCAGCGTGGAACCTCCATTACTGGAAATTCCACCTTTTTCTGCTATTTTGTGATCTTTAGCGAAGAAAGCCATGATTTTCGATGAAAACCATGAGGGGTACCTCATGCTTTTTGGTCGATTTTTGGCCATGTTTTTTTAGGTCCCCAAAAAGTTGAGCAAAAGTGTCAGGAAGTAAGTGCCAGATGAGAGTAATCGTTTGGCGCTATTCTGGCAACTTAAAACGGCCTGTAGCACGAGAAACTGCTGCTCAAATGTATCTAAATTTTGCTGTGTTTTGCATACTATAGAGTAGTTAAAGGAAACGTATGTGTGATCCCCGCATATAATGTCGATTTTTCTCGTTGATCCAGGCATGATGTATCGTAAGAAAGTCCAGTTATGAAGAGATCTCGTATGATGGTAGACAGTTAAAAAATGGCTGAAATCAGAGCGTTACTGATATTGGCAGCTTGATCACTGATATGGTGTATGTACTGTTCGTATCACTTTATGAGAAGCATACATCAGCTAGAATTCTGAGCGCACCGCTTTGTCAAATCCACGGTTTTTAAGCCTATAGACTTTATGGCAGCTGTATAAAAGAGGCAACAACAGGCAGTAATGCTGATTCTTTGCTCATAAAGGCGTTGGCAATGCACTGAAGCGAATGGAATACAGCATTCCTATTGTTTCAATGGAAAATACACCACCATGTGGAAGGTTGTACATGTTTTGCCTTTTGAAGCGTGTTGTGTAAACATGATGTTGAACAATTCAAGCAGCTGGGTATTAAACTACAATGCTCGCTGCTGCTGGTTTAGTGTGCTTCACAAAAGCCCGTCGTTGTACATTTATCTACTCCTTTCTTTTTTCTTTCACTTTATTTCTTTCTTGAATACATATAGATGCGTTTCACTGCAGATGATTCACTTGTAGCAAGTGACAAGAAAGAGACCATTAAACTCTATGTCACTACCAGCTCATTTGTGCTTGTGAAAGACGATAACATTCTAGAGATACATTTTGACGGGCATAAAATGACTCGGAGAGGTAAACAGCATGAAATGCCACATAAATGGTCAAAAGTAATATTGACGTCAAGTGCAGCGACCTATGAACCAAAGGATGTTGTTCAACAGTATGACATCTATGGTATTATTGGTTTTATCGAAGGATTTAAGGGTAAGGGGGTCATTGGGATGCGAGAAGCATGCTGATTATATTTTAACGGTTTACTGCAATCAGAGAAATATATGGTTGTGATCTCCTCCGTCCAACTTCGAGGCCATTTGATGGGAAATCCTGTGTATGTGATAGACGGTGTGAGTTGCCTGAGTTTTGATTCATACAAAGCGTGCCAAAAACTGGACACAAAGGTAACATAACAGCGGTAAGCTGTAACTCAAAGTACTGATGCACACACACACTTTATTCGTCAACAGGAAGAGGAACAGGAAGCAGTAGCAGCACAAGATGAGGATCACGAAACAGCAGCAGCAGCAGTAGCAGCAACAACAACGAGACGAAAACCACCTGTGCAGCTTACTCAATCTAATTCGTTCTTGACTCGCATCAAAAAGACGTTTGCAAAGAAAAGGAGCAACCCTGATCTAGCATCTATGGATGAGGATACCTTGATCGATCAGCCACAAGTATTAGATGCCATCAAAAAGGAGCAAGATTTATTGGTGCCTTCCAATGCCTCTTCCATTTCCCAAAACTCATCAGCTTCGACTATATCCACATCCTCATACGATGACAATGATGAGGAGGACGCTTTAGAGGAGAGATTAATAAGACAAGTGACTGAAATGTTTAGCAGATCCATGTTTTTATACTCCAATACGTGCGGTAAGGGACACAATATTGAATTTGTTGGTAGGACCTCTACTGATTTGCACTACTACAAAAGACATCACCAACAGCTTTCAAAGATCCTTGGTCAAGGGCGAAGAGGATTCAAAATACAATGACTCTCAGATCCCATTATGGAAAAAGGTGGATAAGCGGTTTTGGTGGAATGAACATTTAACTCGTGATTTTGTCACTCAAAAGGTAACGTTTTTTTTTCCAAGGGACTGATGTGAGGGAATATCATATGCTCATGTAAATTTGTAGCTTGATGAGTGGGTGGTACCCGTGATGCAAGGCACATTACAAATTGAACCGTGCCAGATTGATGGATATGGCTTTGATTTTGTTTTGATTTCAAGAAGAAGCCGAGAGAGAGCTGGCATGCGATATCAAAGAAGAGGTATCAATGAGGATGGACAAGTGGCCAATTTTGTGGAAACAGAACAGGCTGTAATTTTCAAGGTAATATGATTGCTACAGATGGTCATGCACAAGAGGCTTACAGTAAATGTAGAAAGGGGAAGTGAACCATGTCGCCTCTTTTATTCAGACTCGGGGATCAAGTAGGATATCAAGAGAGATCCAAAAGGGAATGAATGGCTAATGTCGCGCTCTATTAGTACCTGTATTTTGGAGCCAATCGCCTTACAGTTTGCATCCAGTGCCAACACTGGACAGGTCAGAACATGAGAACAAGACAGCGTTTCAAAAGCATTTCGAGACACAAGAAAAGCTGTACGGCAAACAAATCATTGTTAATTTGACAGAATTGGTAGGTAGAGAAGCCATTGTGGGTCAGCAATACAGACATCATGTGGAAGAATTAGCAGATCCAAACATAAAGTAAGATTCATGCACCGGGTGATCCAAAACATATCATGCGCACTCACACACGAACCCAGATATGTTGAATTTGATTTTCACAAAGAAACCAAAGGGATGAAGTTTGAAAATATCAGCAAACTGAGTAAAAGCCTATATGATGATCTGTCTAAAATACAGTATGATTCCATAAAGGGGAACAGCATGATCTGTTACTAATCTTATTTTTGCCGGACAGGTATTTCTGGGAAACTGCAGTTGTGGGTGATGAGACGATTGTTTACTGTAGACAAGCTGGTGTGTTTAGAACAGTGAGTATACTAGCAGCGATGGTGCCTATCTTTAGACTCATGTGTAAATTCTAGAATTGCATGGATTGCTTGGATCGTACAAACGTCGTTCAGGTATTGTATTTGTTGTATTTATCTGTTGCATACAGCACTCAATGCCAAGTGGTCTATTTTAATTAGAGTGCTTTTGGTCGCAGTGTGCTCAACCTGCAATTGATGCGATTTGGCATCTCCGAATATCCTGAGCAAGGCATCAAATACTACGATGGTTTTGAGAGAATCTTCAATAACGGTATGTAATTTAACGCCGTCTTCAATTGCTCAAATGCATTAAACTCTCTACTGTTTGTTTTAGTGTGGGCAAACAATGGTGATATGATATCCAGAATGTACGCCGGTACAAGCGCTCTTAAGGGTGATTTTACAAGGTAGTGCTTACCCAGCTCTACTACCACTACACACATTGACACATCTGTTTAGAACGGGCAAACGAAATATCACTGGCATGATGAATGATGCTTCCAATTCGCTAGCTAGAATGTACTTTAACACCATCAAGGACTTTTGGAGACAGGCAACGGTGGACTATGTTTTAGGCTATCATAAATCTGAAATCTTTAGACATGTGCCTCAAGCCACCAAGATGTCTGCAGAGCCTGGTATTGAGAGACGATGGGCAAAGATCAGAGCAGACGCAAGTATGTAAACCGCCAGGTCAAATGTATAATATACACATGACTCACTGCGATGTATAGTTGCTATCAGTAGTGAGATTGTTGTATCGGATGATGAGACCTTGATTCAAGGATGGACATTATTGTCACCCACACACGAGGAGCCAGGCAAACAACGGTATGGCATGCTTGAACGACACATATTCAATACTCACATAGTACATCAGATCACCTCGTAAAGAGTTTCAGGAAAAGATACTGCTGCTTACCGAGAAGGCATTGTACATTTGCAGCTACAATTACGCTTTAGAAAAGGTCATTCAATTCAAAAGACTCGGTCTCGATACCATCATCTCCATTCAAATGGGCGAATACATTCTCTCCTCTTTGACGCCCGCCTCTCGTTCAGAAGATCAAAACTATGGCCTCATTATCAACCATTCCAAGGACGGTGAACTTGTCCGCTGGAACACGGGCAGTATCCACAATCAAAGTCTGGGTGATATCAACATTGATCATCACCACTTACAAGACAACAGCGATATCACCATCCCAGCAGTGAAAGCAGCCCTAGAGGGTGTTGATTCCATCAGTTTCAAAGCAGTACGATATAATATCTTGGGTGAACTGGATGGAGAAGTGGAGACGTGCAAAAAGCAGATTCAAGATATTGTGCGAGTCATTGCCAAAGCCTGTGGACATGAGGAACACGACACGCAATTTGTATCTCAAAAGCCAATCATTAGTTTAGAGCAAGCTGAAAAGACGGATGGCATTTTTAAAAAGATGGGTTACAAGATCAAACGAGCCATTTGGATTTAATCATCAATAAATACTTATAATTAGTCTAAACCAGCGGCTTTAGAGAAATGCTGATCTATCAGCTCATTGTAGCGGGTAGGTTGTTCACTAGGTATCCCGTGGCCACTGCCTTCAAATTGCTCCAGAGGACAATCCAACACTTTGCTGATATGAAACGAGTTTCGAGGATTGACGAGATTGTCCCATGTGCCTGTTACTACCAACACAGGAATCCCCGATTGTTTAATCTTCAACAGTCGTTCATCCGACACATAATGGCGGAGACAAGCAGCCAATTGGCCAATATTACCGCCTAATGTTTGTGGCCTGCTACGATCAAGTCTGGCTAATGCCATGGAGACAACCATGTCTCTGTTGGTATCATATTTGATCATTTCTGGATCCTCTGAAGTTGGTTTTGCGGCTAACCAGTCTGGCGGATAGACAATGTCCATGGCACGGCCGATCTTTTGCTTGGGGTCCTTTACAAAAATCAGCCTACCCAATGTCGTAATTGCCTTTAACTGAAAGAGAGAGAGAGAGAGAGAGAGAGAAACTGAGTCATTGACAAGACACAACATATTCTGGAGAAACTTACTGGAGGCACTTGCCTGCCTGATGTAGTACTGGTGAGGACGACCGAAGCAAATCGTTCGGGCCAGGCAGACACTAATTCCAGCGAGATCATGCCGCCCATGGACACACCGTCTAAATGAACACCTTCCTTCCACCCAAGGTGATCCAACAAGTCAATGACATCGTGAGCCATTTGTGCAGTACTATCTCCTGTGTCAGTTTCGTTTACCAAAAGACCCCTTTTCTACAGCAACTCACCTATAAAGACCACTGGGCGCATCTGATAGACCCATACCACGGTTCTCAAAGATGAGCACAGTGTATTTTCCAGTGTCTGCCAAGTATTTTGTTTGCAATTCCCAAGCAAGGCACGAAGAGTTCAATCCTGATGTGATGAAAAACAGATGAGCATACAATGCGCATAAAGATCCAACATGCAATCAATAGCTACCCATGATAAGGACGACATGCTGTGGCCCATCGCCATGGAGTTCATAGTATATCTTGAAGGGAGAGCTCTCTCGACCTTTGGCCACCTCAATGTAGCCATTTTCTTTCATGGTGGATAACGACATTGTTTCAAATTTCTGGATAAGAAAGAAAGGGGTAAAAAAAAAAAAAAAAAAAAAAAAAAAGCCAAGGCGCTGGGGGGGGGGGGGGAGCCGAGCTTTTTATAACAAAATACACTCACCCACCATATTGGAATAAACGTTATAAATCAGAAACAGGTAATAGTACATTTATTTATCACAACATTTTCGTATCAGTGGAGCACTTGTACTCCAACTTTTCAACCTTGACCTCATCATCTATTAACTTGTAGACATAAGTAACGACCGAACTCCCTTGAATATCCATCAAGACAAAGGAAGGGACAGGCTCATTGGCCTCAGGTATAGAAGAATAAGCACCAGTAGCACTTCCAGGATTGATAAAGAATCTTCCATTGTACTCGTAAGCTTCAAATTTGTGCGTGTGTCCAGACAATAACACATCGACCTCCATCTGTCTGGCTGTAATGTCCAAGGCTTCAGCATCTCCCCAGGGGATCACTTGGTGGCCGTGGATGATACCGATACGCAACTGTCCTTCTGTGATCACTTTAGCTTGAGGTAAATTGCTGCTGATTTCATCAAAATCGCCCTTGACAGCAACAATGTCGCCTGCAATCGTTCTTAGATAGTCAAATGTCTCTTTATCTACAGTGTTGCCTGTGCACAATATCTTTTGAATCTTGCCGGGAACAAGCAGCTTTTTGAATTTGTTGGGAAGACCATAGCTTCTGTGAGGAATATGCAAATCGCCAATAGCAAGAACGAGCTACACACAATAACAGTTAGCCGTGCCTTTGTGTGCCGGCATTTGTAGAGAAGCTTACCACCATATTGATCGAGTTATTGAAACAAACACGAAAGAAAAATGCGGAAAAACCAAAGCAGCAAACACTCTGTAATAAAGCACATGATGCAATCTCCCCTCACTACACACAATGTCTGCTGTGATTCAACGCGTATTGAAATTTTCAAGATGCAATCTTTGTTTCTTCTTTCCATTCTAAACCACTCCTGCTTCCAACAGTCATTTTGAATCGTGAGGCAAAAAGGAAGCAATCCAAAGACAAAGCTGGGGTAAGTAGCGCATTGGTGCACGATCCATGTAAATCTGATGGCATTGATTTAGTTGATGAACGTGCCAAAAACCTTTTCTACTGCAGCAAAGAGCCATTTATATATACCGTAAGCTACCTTTTACAGACCCATCGTGCACTTTGGGCATCTATACCACGATACGCAGCAATACGCACATTTCAAAGAATATTACTATTTGTATCAGCAATTGCCACCTCTTGTACTCAGCACAGACACTATGAGCGACCACTATACTACTGACAGTAGCAGCAAATCCCATGCATCGGCTGTCAGCTCTTCATCCTACCATCGGGCGTCAACAGACGGCCAACCAAACGCTATAGCCACAGCAGCAACAGCATTCCAAACCCGTGTTGGCGCTGTGCCATCATTTGCTCCCAAAAACCAATCTCTGAGAGACATGCACATGGGGACAACCACGTTAGCACTGAAACTGGAGCCCTCTATCCCCTCCAAAGTATCGTCCAGCAGCCAGAGAACGTCATTCAATGTCTCTGTGTTTTCAGGGCCACATTATCAGCCTGAGAACTACGCTGTCAAACCAAATACAGATTATGGGAACAAATACTTTTTACCCGAGCACTTTCCGCCATCCTCATCCGAAGCGAGGTACCTCATGCCCAGCCTTGCTTATCATTTCCAAAGCGCTTTGAAAGATGGGTCTCATTTTGAATCTTACAGTGATTATAACGCAGAGGACCCAGAGAACTTTAGACATGCTTATGGTGTTCAACATCAACCCAATCAATGTAAGTGTGTGTGGCAGGCCAGATCAAGGACAACAACTCACATCTATCTCTAGTAATAGACCTGTATATGAACCCAGACGGAGCGGGTCAGTCGTACAAAGCCATAGCGCAGATAGCACCATTTAATCCAACTCGATTGCAACAGGAGAGACCACATTCATCCACACCGACTCCACATCAACAGTTCCTGGACCAGCCATACCAATCAGCCACAGCCTCTCCGCTATCAGACACATCATCACAGGACGAACGAGTGAATCAAATCCTGGAAGCCGCCAATCTTTTGGATTTTAACAATCAATTTTCACTCACGACAAATGACAATAATGCGGCAATCAGGAACGCCAGAGAGAAACACACAGCCAGACGGCCTACATCGCATGCAGCAGACTCTGACACAGATGGCGAGGGTTTGGGTAATCACAGTTGTCGAGTCAAACAGGAGAGAGACAGTGCTGTCTACGTATCAGCATCATCTTTCAAACGAGATCAGCATGGCAAACGAAAGCATCGGTCGTCTCCTCCATCCTACAGATCCAAAGATCCGTCACAGCAAACCCCACCGAAAGGCTCTCGAAGAACAGCAGGAAAGACCGTTGCTTGTTTACCACCTCCCAATGCCAACACGAGCTTCCATGACGACGATGATACCGTGGTGTCTCTTTATTCCGCTCAATCCAGCCCTCATGCAGACTATGCCGTTCTCTCTGACACGGCCGAACAGGATGCTGCAGAGAGCGATAACCGCTCTGCAGTAGAAGGAGCTGCTGAAAAGCGTCTCAAAGCCAAAGAATGGCCGATTCCCACCAAGACATTGGCCATCAACAAATGCAGAGATTGGGGCAAATTTTTGCAATCATGGCGTATCAAAAAAAGGCCCTTGGTGTGTTCCATCTGCTTGGACCCTGTCATTAACAGCGAAGCACCTTCTGTTGTTTATTGCGATTCGCCGCAATGTGATGTGCTGATTCATCGTAGTTGTCTGAACAGAACCGAATTGCCTATGCTTGTTCAAAAGTATTGGCTGTGTGATAAATGCTTCTTTCTGGATACGATGGATCAAGATTGCCCCTTTGTGGTGACTTGTGCACTGTGTCCCAATACCAATGGCTTGTTCTGCAAATTGAGCCCGTATTTACATGATATTCCCTGGGTCCATTTCACGTGTGCTAAAGTGTTTCAGGCACGGCCTGGCGATTTCAGCTATCAGGCAGATTTGGGTGAATACGAAGCACGGTTTGATTTGATACCGATTGACAGATTTTCAAAGGCAAGTATTATCAAAGTGACATGTAGGTGCGGCTGCTCATCCGTTCGCTTCATAGACATGTGCATCCTGTGCTGATCCCATCTACGCCAGTTACGGTGCCAAAGTGACATGCTCAGATTGTGACAAATCATTCCATGTGACATGTGCTCAGATGAATCAAGTGCAGGTGTCACTGAAAAGTGGCAATGCCAGGTGTTTGAGTCATTTCAAGCCCGACAGTAGAGCGAGCCAGCAAATACAGAGTTCAAAAGATTACAGTACTTGGGTGAGCCTCAAGGAAGCTTACTTGTTGAAACAGTTCAACAAGAATTCACGGATGTTTGCCATTGATATTTGGAAGACATTGGCCAAGGACGCAGCATCCTTCTCGATGGGGAATCGCAAGATCAATGCTCTCTATATTCGATTTCTTCATCGCATCAAGCATGTCCATTATGAGGTAGAGGGTACGCGATACAGTCAATGGATCAACTACACACTCGCCTTTTTTAATGCCGTGTACTCTGCTCGAGACATGGAATCCTACACGGTTTCTTTCAGCTCTGAACTGTTTGCAAGCCATAAACTGATCTGGAAACACTACAATTTCTGGCAAGATGCCAATGAAGCATCTCCTCAACCAACAGCCATAGCAGCAACAGAAACAAGAGACAGCGTGGATTTCATGAACAACAACGGCTATGACGACCATCCGGAAATAACGGGGGGAAACCATGCCATATCCCAAGATCCGGTGGAAACCATGGACCCTAGTTCGCCATGGCTCATGCCCCCTCATCTCAAATCATCCCATCAAATCTGTTCCATTTGTAAAAAGACAAGGCTCCCTGCTGAAGTGTGCGCCAACTTGGGTATCACTGAAGCTTACTTGAAAAATCTAGAGACAACAAAGGACAAGAGACCGCCTGGGCACACTGGAAACAAGTCGTTTTGGGACCCTCGCGTCTTTATTCAATGCTCCAGATGTTTGTCTATTTTGCATTGTGGTTGCCCTGAAACGCCCATCAAAAAACATCCTGAAAAGTAAAGTATCATTGAAATGACGGCCTGTGTATGGGATATTCACTAACTGATGTCATGATAGAAATAAGGTGTTTGTGTGCATATTTTGTGATCGACACGGAGAAATGGCAGCGGCTCCTCAAGCACTAGGCTCAAGAAGAAGTCGAAAGATAAACTATAAAGAATAAAGAACATTTGGCATTTTCAGTGGATCACGCTTCTATCTGATGTCGTGTTTCAAATGTATCAAGACCCCACGTTGTAAAAGAGAAGAGTGTGGAGAAGGAGGTGAAAGCCAAGAAGTGACAGTAACTCAATCTGACCTTTCCAGCAATTCTTTCACATTTAAAGTAATGATGTGCCATTTCCATAGAGTACTGTTTCCCGAGTATACATTTTATATTCATCACCCCTAAATATTTTTTCTTTTTTTTTTTTTCTTCTTCTTTTTCTCAGCATTTCATCCACTTGAGTTTATACAAAAGCAACATGGATATTGGAAATTTACCCATCTTTAGCGGCAGCAAGGACACTAAATCCACCAGTAACAGCAACGAGGCACCTATTACAGGCAATACATCGAGATCTTTTGAATCCAACAAGAAACAAGCAGCACCAAGCGAGGACAAGAACGCTTGGGAACAAATTGGTGATTACGATCAACCCGCTGCCTCCCCCAGCTCAAACAGTCCTGTCGATGAGGATGAGGACGAGGAAGACCACGAGCAAGTTCAAATCCCTAGAATACATACCCAAACCGAAGATTCCAAGAAGGAATCTGATGATGCCGCATCCATTGCATCAGAAGCAGCAGTCAAGGCAACTCAACAACATAGTAGATAAGGTTACACTAACTCGGAATGCATCATCCGAAGAGATCGACAACACGTATTGAAATAATTTCATTATTACAGGAAACAAGGAATAAAGAAAATAATCGCGATGTTTATTACTTTTAGGAGTATATTACGTTAAAGAGATATAAGGGGTTATAAGGGTGTATGATTGAAAAAAAAAAAATAAAGCATAACAATAAAGTCAAAAAGAGAGCATAAATATATACATGATGATGCTGTGTATGTGAGTGTGTGTGTGTGCGTGGGTGGGTGTTTAGTTACAAATGGATTATGAAATAAATAAAAATGTGGGGAAAATTTACAATGAGAAATCAGAACGATGCAGTTCAACAAACTGGTTCAATGTACCATCATCGACCCAACAATCGTACTGGATCAACTTGAGAAAAGCTCTTTCCAACTGATAGACATCTTCCATGGAAAATAGACCACCGCAAATTTCATAGATGCGACGATTGCTTAGTGTGTGGGTTGTCCATGCTGTGTTTTTGAGGAATTTAGAGGCTAATAGTAAAGCACCAAGAAACATGCGGTGATTTGTGTCTAGTATGTGGTCATAGGTAAGTATGAAATCATTGGGATGGTTTAGACTAACTATCTTATTTACCATCACTGCCAATGGCTCTTTTTGGTAGATTTGATTTGGCTCTCTTCAGATAGATCAATGCGACAAGCAGTGTTCTCACATTGATGTTGGCTTGATGCGTTACTTTTTGAACAAAGAACACGAGCTCTGGCAAGGAACGAGTTTTCTTGTGCTGGTTATTTCTGGTCCTTATCAAATCGCATAATGTCATGGCGGTAAAGTCTGTAGCATCTTATGAGTATAACATGTACAATGGGGCTCATTGGAGTCATAGTATAGAGCAATGCTTACCAATAAGTATGGAGGGAATTCGGTTGATGACGTTTTTAGAGGGCAATGGCAATTGATGTGGTCGAGTAATGGTGAAATTATAGGAAGGAGGAGGTTGTTGAAGCATATTGAACGTGGGGAATAAAGAAAGAGAGAGAGAGAGAGAAAAGAGATGAAATGGCAAATGTTGCTCCAGAACCTCTCTTATTTATATAGACAAACCATGAGTCAAGCCTCTATCTCTCTTTCGCAGGTAATTCACATGGTGAACGAGAAAAAAAAACTCCCTAATAACAATAACAATAAGCCTTTATCTCCTTCCAATCAGGCCAAGACGTTTGACAACATTTCTTATTATCTTTCTCGTTTGCTCTCTTTCTCTCCCTTTATTTTGTATCAAGCTTGTCAATGACATGTTTCAATGTGTAAAGAAAGAGGAAATGCGGATATCTCGGGATACTTGTTATGGATGTTTGTAACAATAGGCTTGGTGAAACCCTCGCAATAGACATATGAGTTTGATAGACTTCAAGGTTACTCTAAAAAGTATTCCGAGCAGGAAATTTAATTTTACTTTTTTGGGAGGTTTGTTTGGTATCATTAAAGTACTAAGTAATATACGTGTATGTGTATGTATGTATGTATGTATGTATGTATGTATATATATATGTATGTATGTATGTATGCGTGTGTGTAGATGTAAATAGCTAATTTAAAGACTTCAATTCAATTTGCTCTACGCATTGTGGTCGGTCTAAAGGATCCGCATCCAGCGTGGCCTCCATCTGATGTGATGGATGAGGCTGTTCGTGGTATATAGGCTGATTCACGGTGGATGAAGATGACACCACAGTTGTACTTGGATCACCATGAAGCGACGCCTTGGACAGATCAAGGCCATTGTCCACGTTGAATTGTTTGAGATGTGAGAGGGCTTCAAACGCTGTTTGAGGATGATGTGCCCCTGGACTTTGATCAATTAATGCACCACTGAAAATCAAGTGGATTTCTTCAAGTGACCTACCCTACACATGGCCCTGTTGTTTCAATAACGGTTTGCAGAAAACGAGCAACATAGATAGACTTACTCTTGTTTCGGGGTAGAATCTATGAATGATGTATGACTGTATCAAACAGATCAAGCCAAAAAATAAATAGGTTCCCCATCCAATATCTCTGAATAACACGGGTGCAAGTTGCGATACAAAGATACTGGTAGCGTAACTGGCTCCTGTAGTGACACCTAAACCCTTTGCGCGAATGGATTGAGGGTATATTTCTGCAGGATAGATCCAGCCCATAGACCCCCAACTGAGAGCAAAACAAGCCAAGAATAGACATAGAAACACAAGAACACAAAATGATGCTCTGCTGTCATTAATGTATACAGTGATCGGAAATACCGCACCGGGAAATACGCGCGCTTTGCTAGCGGGTAGTTGGACGGAATAGGTTCCTTGCACTGCTGCAATTATGATCATGCAAGTGGCCATAGCAACGCCTCCTATAATCATAATGCGTCTTCGGCCCCATCTATCAATCTAGATTTGTGGCGTTAGTATGGGGTTGGACTGTATTTACCGCAAAATACCTACATAGAGAAAGGACGGAATGGTAGCCAACATGTTGATCATACCACTGATGCCATTCCCCAGCAAGGCTGAATTGGATTCTGCTATACCAGTGGATTCCAGGATGTAAGGTAGATAAAACCTGTTGAGAGAGAGAAAGAGAGAAAAAAAAAAAGAGAGGATGAATACGAGGTGGCACCACGTAATGAAATGCAATGTATGATACTGTACATTAGTGCATTGATACCAGTCAATTGTGTCATGATATGCAATCCCACACCGAGAATGGTTCTCTTTCTGTTATTGTCGATACCCTGTTCAATCAACGACTTGTAGCTTTGAGAAGAGTATTTGTTGTCATAGTTGCGCTCCTGAATGATGCCAGTGTATTCCATGCGAAGCTCCAAATCATCGTTGTCTTTCTTGGCCCGCAATACCCGTAAAATTTGTTTGGCTTCTGAGAACCTGCCTTGATAGATCAACCATCGAGGACTTTCTGGGATAAAGAAGAGACCTAGCATCAGTACCACAGGAGGCACAATCTGAATACCCAAGGGAATACTCCATGAGAGCTTGTTCCGCATGTCAAATGTACCATATGTGATCCAAAATGCGAGGCAAAACCCAATGGTGACACCAAACTGATGCATGGAAATCAATCGGCCTCTGTGTTCCGGCAATGATATTTCACTTTGATCTAGCACAGAAAGAGCTTATTAACGCACAATCAAATGGCAACATGCTTGCTTTTACGTGTACGTACATAAGGGGCACATGACACTAAACATGCTATTCCTTTCAAGTTAGTCAAATCAAGCGCTGGTAAGCAATCGATTTTAGTTACCCTAATGAGAATCCAGTAATCAGCTTTCCAATGAAAAAAGCAGCAAAAGTGTGGCCAGCACACTGTGTTATCGTGCCGATGGTATGTATAATACAGGCAATAAAAACAAATCGCTTTCTGCCTACTTTGTCTCCAATAGGACCTGATAGCTGTGTTTCTGAACTTGAGTGTCATGTGAAGATTTGATTTTTCGGTTCACACTTACAACTGCTATGATGCTGGATGCTGCTAACGGCACTGAGAGCGCAATTGCACTCTTTGAATTGCTATCGAAAGAAAATGTCTGTTGAAAATTGTCCATCACTAAACAACCTGCTAGAGCGCCATTATCATATCTATTGAAAAAAAAAAATGAGTACCATATCATGTCATGATTTCACATTGAATAGACAGTTACCCATACTAAGAGGTTTCATATGGCAAAAAAGAAAAAAGAAGAAAGGGCAGTGTTTAACGACTTGAACAACTTGACTCTATTCATATATACGCTACCATGAATCCACCAATGCCTAAAAATCTACTCAAATGCATCAATTAGCGATCAAGACGATATGCACTGTGTAGTGTTCATATATACCCGCATATAGCATATGCCCTCCAAAGGGAAGAAAGTTTCATACAGTGCCGTTTATTGTAATTTTCGATTTGTGATGTGGATGGAATTGGTGATGAGTATCCAATTAAAATGTTGTATTGTAATCCTTGTTTGCGTGGTCGATTGGAATTGCCTTTGTTTGTATGATGGAAATGGGGAATAACAATGACAATTTGAAAAAAAAACAGAGGGGTTAGCTATCCAGAGCGAAAAAAAAAAGGGCAACTACTACAGATATACACTTCTTAATATATATAACAAAATAAACCAAGTTCCGGTTTTTCTGCCGTTTCCCAGTTTCAAATATCGGAGATCATCATGTATAGAGGATTATACACTTTATATATGCTAATTTATCGCACGATATTTTTCTTTCATTAGGACAGGAGGATAGAGACAGAGGTTGATGTGTGAAAGGCTTGTTGTTTACCAGGGAAGCCATGTTGTGTTGAGTTCAAGTATAGAGGTGCCTGAATCGTTCGTTTGTTACTCAAGACGAAATCTCCTACCCTGTACGACATGATAGCCACCGTTGTAATCTCGATCAAACACCAGAAAAGACACCACTGTAGAATATGAATCCCGAATGCAGCCAATGGCTGGCACATTGATATTTATATATCCAGAAATCAGTGCTGTTAATCAAATGAAAAGTCAGTATTCCAGACTTGAATTCTAACGATACATCCTGTTCGCGATCATTCATTAACAGCCACATCATAATACACATTCATGACACCAAAAGTTGGGTAGGATGGTGTGTATTTGTCTTTATGTATCTCGAGCTACTTTTGGTATTGTTAATAGTAAAGAGAATAGGTAGCCCATGCAAGGATTGAGTCAAGCAAAAGTGAGCATCTTCAACAAATGTAAATGTCGCTAAAGTTGATATTGATCGCAAAAGGCATACATTTGAAACGTGACAAAAGCACCATGCTGGTGGAGATCTGAGTCGCTGCTGAGACACCGCCTTGATCATATCAGTGCAACCCGTATATAGTCTACACTCAACGTTCAGATCTTGTAGTCAGCACAAATGTTCTAGCTACAGATTACCTTTGGATTTGAAATGCTCGCATACGATGCTCACAAATCGCCTGTTGCGCTTGGTCTCGATTTAGGTAACTCCAATGTTTGATTTTTCACTAAATTCCTATGGAATACCTCTCATTCTTATCCAGTAAGCATCATGAGAGCCACCTCGTATAATAAGAAGCATGCTATACTTGCGAAATTGATACTGTACGGCACAAGAAGCATCCATTGGCGTTACAGTGATAACAACTCTCGCTTATATCTAGCCTTCACTTCTCTTCTCACCTTCATGGCCCTATGATCCCATTTGCAAATCCATCACTGTATACATGCATCCGATACGGTGGCTCACAATACATAAAAATGCATTTTGCTTGGACATGTCATTTTGTCTTGCTGGATCGCATTGACATTTAAACAAAGTAACATTGATAGACTTCCATTGGATATATGTAAGGCCTTCCGAGGAGAAAAATGAGATGAACGCATTTGAACATAAGAGGCTGATACCGATGTATTCCAAGAAGAAGGAAAGGGGCAGATGACAGTTGTGGATTTCGAAATAGCTTAACTGTGCACGTTTTGACTGAGAGTCAAGCTAATTTGATAGGCTGAACGGATGGAAGTTTCGTTTTAGAATGTTCCAATAACAGCATTGTTCAGGAAAAAAAAACTCGCCTAACGTCAAATCTGCATAAATCATAAATTCCATACAAAAGGGGCTCTTTTTAAATGTCTAAACCAACACATTTTATTCCCATATCTCAATGCTTAAACAATTACAATCACCCATAATTATCGTCCAAGACAGTAGTTTTGGCAGCATATTAACCACAACCAGTAAATATCCCTTGATACAATGCTTTGGCCAGCTCGATTAATTATACGCTTATAGATGATATATTGAACCAAACCGAGTTGCTACGATACAGCGCAAATCTGAAAGGAGTCGATTTGGATCAATTCATGCAAATGACAGATGAAAAAGATTTTAAGCTGTATGGCATACGCAAACAAAGAGACTGTCAAAAACTATCACAAATTGCGCAGTATATCCGCAGTTCATCATTGACAAGCAGTTCATCATCGTTCAGTCAGCCAGAAAGTGGCGATATCGATAATGCAGATGAAGACAACTGTTTTCTCACGCCTGACTTTGCACAGCAGCAGCAAGATAGTGATATCCCACATCTCGTACTGGATGACCCAGAAGATACCGATTATGATACAAAGATCGTGGAAGGTGTCATTCAGAGGATTCGCTCAATTGCTGCGACAACTGAGGAAGATGACACACAACAACCTTGGCCAAATTCAATCCAAGTATCAAAACCAAAAGTTCGATTTGCCACTGATCCACCCAAATACGATAACAGCAGACGCTTTTCATTACCTTCGCTGGACCCCCCAGAGTACTGCGAATACGTTTTGGATAAGCGAAGAAACTCATATGCCGCTGGCTCAAATACTGCCCCAAAGAAGCGCAGCATGAAAGGAAAAGAGACATTACCAAGATACTCTTGCTCTGTACAGAAGATGGGTAAAGCATCTGCCAAGATTGAATTTGATTTACCTGGTGTGAGGCCAAGAAGGCGTCCTTGGAGAGATGTATACATGGAGCTTCAGGGAACTGTACTAAAGGTCTATGAAGCAAAAGATAACTCTTACGCACTCGGTGGCTACCATTATCTTCCAACAATGGCACCCTATTATCAACAGAGCGTTAGGTACACTCCTTTGGTGAATCTATCCTTGTCAAATGCCAAGGTTGAAGCAGCTACTGATTACAAAAAGAAGCCAAATGTATTTCGCATCACCACAGAGAATGGACCTCAAGTTTTGTTCCATGTTCAAACTTGCGCAGCTTCCCTCTTGTGGACAGAAAAGATTTCATCAGGTAAGATATAACTTGTCTGAAGCACTCGAGTATATAGTTGGCTGACATGCTTTGCAACAAAAAGGCATCAACATTGCTGTCGATCTGGAATATCAACAGATGCCTAAATTCAATACAACAGTGGCATTCGAGGAGCCAATCAGTAGCAATTTCAATCATTCGCCAACTCATCAATCATACCAAGGATTGGTTCTGGAAGAAAGACAGAGGAGAGATCAGGAAGCTTATGATGTCCTTATATAAGATTTCTGAATACTATTACTATCTCTAATCATTTGTACATACCACTTTAATAAAATCGCTGTATTCACTGTATTTTATTGTCGAGTGCAAGATTGAGGGCACAGGTTGAGACACCAATGGTAACTTCAATAGTCAGTGCCCTTTAACAAGACATCCGCCAAGATGGGCTTGCATCAAAAGAACTCATGATCAGAATCTTGCGCCTCGATTATTGACACGTGTGGTTCACATTAGTGAGTGCCAATATTGAGGTTTTGAAATGCTACCTATTATTATTATAGGTAATCTTATGCATCTGCATGAAAATCAGGCGACATTAGAAATTTGACATGCATCAAATGAATTCAGCATTGTTAACTTTCGAGGATTAGCCAACAACCATCCAAACACCACCTTTTACTCTAGATCTGACTCTTTATGATGCTCTACGTTTGTAGCAAAGGAAACAATTCTTATACGGACAGACAGTATACTTGTATGACCTCTTGCTACCGAGAAGTATGCAGAACACAATGAAACTCGGACGGATTTGAGCTGGATTATCTCGTGTTAGAGGTCGTTTTAGATGGTCAGAATAGCACCAAACAATTGCTCTCGTTTAGCAGTTGCTTACTGATGCCTTTGTTCAACTTTTTTGGGACTAAAAAAAAAAACATGACCGAAAATCGACCAAAAAGCATGAGGGGCACCTCATGGTTTTCATCGAATTTCAAACGATCGCATTTTTCATCTTGAAAATGAAGACTTTTGTTATGGTATATATTAAATCAAAATGTTTCTCTCGATCCAAGGCAACCTCTGAAATCACGTTTATGAGGTTTTCATATGCAAAATATGGCTATTTTCGCTAATAACCTCATTTCATGTTCTGTCAAATTGCTCAATAGATTCATTCAAAACACTGATTACAGTTAGCACCATTGGAAGCGCCTTGAAAAGTACTTCAAGAATGTATGAGAAAGCATAGGGTGATCATCACAGTTTATATAGTCGAATATCATATAATAGATTAAAGAAGTCCAAAAAAAACCCCCAAAATCTGTCCAATCTTGAACAGAAAAAAAAAAATTGGCTGAGTTTGAATCAATTTTGGCGTTGGCGTCGCTGCTTGCTGACCCAAATGCCTTTCTGATGATAACAATGATGATGACAATGATGGTTACTACGATGCTGATCAAATGGGAATCATGGATCTTAAAGGACAATTCCTTAGCTCGAATACTTTTTTTTCTTTCTTGGGAGTTTTTCCCTATAATAAAGGCGTCGTTTACAATGACAATATCTCAAAAAAGTTACTCTAGCTCTTACACAAGTCCTGTATTTACACATGGCCAGCTTTATGCTGCCATCTCAAGAGCAACATCAGCGAATGGATAACTCCCCCTCCTGACTCTGATATAGCCTCCTTTTTTTTTTTACTACTATTAATTGATTGTTTAAAATCTACTTGATATACCAGATTTTTATTATCTCTGATTTGAAATGTCTTTGGCGAGAGCCCATAGGCGACGCCGACATGGAGCGTAGCCAGATAGATCGACTAGTAAATACAATATGGACTATTGCAATAAATTCAGTTATCTAATGTTTTTTTTTTATATATATATTGGAATTGGGGATTTCCACTACCTCGTGTCATCCGAGTTTTTCAATCAATCAATCAATCAATCAATCAATCAGTAATCAACTACATGATAGAGCAAGATTCTCACTGAGCACTAAACAGGCCAGAGGGCCTACTATATATTTACAATGTGCAGAAAGAAAATCAAACAACAGATCATTTAATGGGAAGAGGTAATCAGGTGCAAACGGTTTTGCCTATGCGTATTTACATCACCTGCTATTGGGACACAATAGACAGGAGGAGGAGTTTCTTCATCATAGGCAGGTAACTGTTCTTCTAGACTAGGTGGTCGAATGAATTTAGGCTTTGTTGACAATGTTGTGTCTGATGTAACCGAAGGATGTCGGTAACTGACCAACGTAGAAGGTAATTGTTCCCCTGGCGCAACAGTTCCAAAATGTAGCGGTATACAGAATAATTGTCGTTTTGCCCACATGAGGCCATGTCGCACTTTTGCAGTAATGTAGAGTTTATATTCAATCTTGATATGCTTTGAAAAATTGGTGGTCGTTGTCATTCCCAGCACACTAAAGTTCCTTAGTATGGTAGGGTTGTTCTTTTTGCTGATTTCAATTGGTATTGGAATGTTGATATAGTACGTACAGGCGCCACGATGATTGCCAACACCAAATTTGGATTGCTCAACGTGAGTCATGACCATGGTATCTGCTCGATGGTAAGAGCCGTGTGTGACATCCACCTCTCGCTTCACATAGGCTTCAATGTGATTGAACAAGGCTGCATTATTGTCTTGATGCTGCTTGCCTTTCTGAAGGTTGATGATGGATAATTGCACTTTCATTGTCTCTGTACGACTGTCGAGTATGTTGTAATCACAGCCCTTGACAAGTGTCACCACGACATTGTGTGTATTGTCGAGACGCAGCTTTTCTTGGTATATGTTGGGCAATTTGATAGACTTTGATTCAATAAAGGGCTCATATCGCACTTGATATGGCACTGTTTGAAATGGCCGAAGGGCAGGACGTTCTAGAGATGCCAGTAGTTCGAATTCACACGAAGCAAGATGATGCCGGAACGTAGGTGGATAATTCACCATTGGAATTTCACACATGAATGGAAACACATGTTCACCAGATTCAATCAAAGGCCATAAATTATTCTGGCAAGATGGCTTTCCCCATAATATGGTTCGTATAGCAAACAAACGCTCGCCTCGCTTCTTGTTGGCTTTGCCAATGGTATCAGAATGAATTCGCTCTAATGCATACACATTCAGAAGGCTATTCAAGTTGGTCACATGGCAATGCTAAAATTACCTGCTCCTTTAAATACAAGCTTGAGATGTTGAGCAGCAAGAGGCGTATCCAGCTTGAGCTTAACGACACCTTCAAAGATGGAGCCCGGGTGGCATGTTTTCTTTTGAGTGTCCCCATCAATGCGAAGAATTGAGATGGAGAACTGAACTGGAGGTTTCCTGAACTTTCTATTAGCAGGATCTACATAGCGGTAATTGTCATCGTCTGAGGAAGACGAGCGTCCTTCTTCCAGGTCGAAAGCAGGTGTATCCAATATATCATGCCACGATGAAGTTCTTTCCAATGACATGATGTATTGCTGTTGTTGTTCTGGTGTGGTGGTCGGCATTGCTATTGTGAGAGAATTGTTGCATTCAAGAGAGAAAGAGGAGATGCAAATGATGAGAGATGAGATGACACTAAAAGACGAATTCAAATAAAGATGGAGCGGTTGAATGAGAAGCCGAATTGAAAGGATCATCTATTGATGATAAAAAACCCCTCTTTTTTTTTTGGCAACTGTGCCACTTATTAAACCCCAAATAGACTTCCCGGATGTGATGGATGGCAATACAATTTGACGGGTGAGTAATGCAGAAGAATTTCTTAGATGATGGGGTTTATTTCTATTCTACAGTGGATACATCATAGGAAGGAATCACTTTGAATGGGTGAGGGATAAGGGCACTAGAGATATCGTCGCCCCACCATGTATCCGTGCATTGTCTATACCAATCAACTAGTTTTGTTTATAAGCCTTTGCTTGTTCTAATGATTGCTTAATTAAATACTCACTTGTCTTTAATAGGCCTTCGTCAAATTTGACTTTTGGAGACCACCCCAGTCTCTCTATTTTGGTGCAATCGATAGCATAGCGTTTGTCATTATGTGCTCTGTCTCTGACAAATTCAATATGATCCATGATTTCGTCCTCCTTGTATCCAAACAGCAAGATCAATCTTCTGGCCATTTCCAAATTGGATATTTCTGATGGAGAACCAATATTGTAAGTTTCACCAACCATGCCCTTGTGGAAAATAATGTCAATTGCATTAACCACATCTGCAGCGTACAGGTATTTTCTCGAATTGAGTCCATCTCCATGAATATAGCACTTCTTTCCTCGGAGCAGACTGCACACAAATTTCGATGTAATCTTTTCTGGAAATTGATATGGGCCATAGACGTTATTGGATCTGGTAATCATGATGGGCAGTCCAAATGACATATGATAGGCTTTAACAAGACATTCAGCTGCAGCTTTGGTTGCGGAATACGGGTTGGTAGGTTGTAGAATAGTGTCTTCTGGGCAGTCTGGTCCATTGATGATCTCGCCATACACTTCGTCGGTACTGACATGAATGAATCTCATAATCTTTCTAATTTTAGCTGCCTCTAGTAATACATGTGTACCCATAACGTTGTTTCTATTTGACTCGTTAATACGTTCATATATATATATATATATCGAAATGCAAGTACTAAGCCTTACTTTGTGAATTCAAAAGAGTCTCCAAAGGAATTATCGACATGAGTTTGTGCTGCCAGATGAAAGATAACATCAATCTTCTTTTCCTTGAGAAAGAAGGTTATGAAGTCAACGCAAGTGATATCTCCCTAAAGCAACTGTGAGTCCAACGTTGAACAGGCTAGATGGTGAAAGACATACCCTCACGAATGTGTAGTTGGGGAACTCTTTTACTGCCTTTAGATTATGCAATGATCCACAATAGTCCAGCTTGTCGATAACATAGATGTGGTATTCTGGATATAGTACAACTAGTTTTCTAACAAGAAAAGAGCCACTATTGCAACAAGTTGTAGTCAGCGTCTGCACCTTGCAATGCACTTTACAACTTACATGAAGCCTGCTCCACCGGTAACCAAGATATTCTTTGCGTCTTTCAAATCAGCAGGCATTTCAGGCACTCTTTCGCCAATGTCAACCAAGTCAAACTCGGACAATGTCTTGACAAGTTCAGCGTGTCTCTCTAGATCCGATTGCATTCTGTTTTTTGATGGAGACATGACTAGTAATACAGTATTTCTATAGGTTTATCTAATAACAAGAAAAAAAAAAAACGAGAAGAGAAACTTTCTAAAGCTAAAAAGTTTCTTCGTTTTATACAATCCCACTTTTAAATGGCGTACTCTAACTGGTTATGGTATAAGAAACGGGACGAGGAGAAGAAATCAAACATTGTTCCCAGTTTTCTTACTTAATCAACAGATTACATAATCAGTTTTTATTATCAGCCTTGTTGTGGTGGCAAAAATGAAGCAGGGATACGTGTTGCAATCTTAGAGTACTCATCAACATGACGATAGCCATTCCTGCCATGCCAGAAAAGCACCCAACTGGTATTAGGTAATCGTAAATAGCCGTTTGATCTTTCAAAGTACCTATCAATGACAGACAAGATTTTATAGTTTTTTTTTTTTTTTTTTTTTTTTTTTTTTTAGACTCAAAACTGACATGTGTTACATGTTGCCTCTTATATTTACCATTTGTTGACTCCGTTATCTGTTCGACTTCTCCATAGTAATTCAGGGTATCGATCGCACATGCGTTTCCACAAGATGTCAGTCAGGCCAATGCCTTGACTGGAGGGTGCAATGGCAAATTTATCCAGGTAGGCATGCTGTGTATTATTGGCTGTTTCGTTGGTCATGATCACTGCTCCTTCATAATCGCCTGCAATGATGGCGCCTGCTAATACATGCTCCAATCTTCCATAGAATGCGTCTGTGTCTACTTTCTTTTGAAAACTAGCTTCCAGTAGCTCGGTGAGTCGGTTGAGATTGAGATCACTGACATGGGAGTAGTTGTTGATCTTGATGCCGTGACGAAGCACAGTTGTTTTGGCCTGATTGATGCGGGTATGATGAGTCACAGGTAAGGATGATGAGTACAGAGGTTTGTCTGTCACTAGATTTGTAATCAATGCAGATGGTAACGATGCTGTGGGAGCAATAATCGCCGAGGAAGAGGTAGGTAATTGATCCAAGCAATCTCGCACCATGGCTAAATCATCCAAGGTGCTAGGATATGATTTGTTCCACTCGGTATTCTTGGAAAATGCTGACTCAATGTCACTGAATTCCTCTTGCACATTGACAAGACTGTGGGCTGTGCCGGGAAGATTGTGATTTGGGATGCCACCTTCCTTGTTGATAATGACAATCTTGGATGGCACTAATTTAGGATCCAGTGCCTGAGTTTTGAGTCTTTGAGTCAGTGCAACGACTGCTTCATTTGCATTGACAGGCACTAGCTGACCATCGTGCTCTGTGAGAATAGGTACCACAATAGGGATTTGATTGTTGTTCAATGCAGATAGGATGAAATCCAAATTGATGTCGATTGCATTGGCTGAATTGGATGATCTCTCTAATGCGGAACTGTATACAAGTCGTGCTCGACCGCCTGCCTGTTCAATCGATTCCACCAGCGTCATACTCTCACTAAACATGCGCTTGGCCAACTCGCTCGGCGACGATTTGTCGGTGCGCCAGCTTGGGTTATCAGATACAACAATAGATGACAGGCCCAACTTTTGTAATTTGTACAGTGTGTTGCCCACCTTTTGCCAATCGCTCTTGTCAAACGGACCTTCGACCTTTGTCAATGCTAACTGATGGTATGTGGGTGCCAGTAGTTCATTGACGTATTCTTTTGGTGATTTCACACCTGGAGCGCCTTTGATTTCTTCAAATCCAGAGAGTAACGTTGGCTTTTGACTCTTGACTTCAGGTCCAAAGCGTTTTAAAAAGTGTTGCAATTCTCTTTTACTAGGCCCTGTATCCATGAGATTGACTAAAAGTTCCTAAAGAGACCATGTTGGTACATGCTTTGCCAAAGAAAAAAAAAAAAAAAAAAAGCGGATTTAGGCACATTACTCTGACTTCCTGTTGTTTTGGGATAGCAATCTGTTTGACATGTTTAATCAGATGAGCATAATTAGGCACGACATGATATACACATTACATTTGTCTTTGTTGTTGCGCTGTAATTTCGGCATACTTTAGCAGACCATAGCTGGATGCAAGGTCTGTTGATTCTACAAGTGATATTCATGATACGGAAGAAAGAAAAAGATAACAGATCCCTGAATTGTTGATGAGTCAACAATTAAAAATGTTGTGGTGCAGCAGGTCTAAAATGTGTCACAGTGAGTGATTTTGAGTGAGAAAAAAACTTGGGAAATAGAGTTTGAGCATCAAGCATTGCCTTGCGATTTTATTCATATGACATGGTCCTTCTATAGGTCTTACAGTAATCAAGAAGAAAAGAGCCCGATTACATGCAGTAGCAGTTACCTTTCTTGTTGCTAAAATCTGGAGTCTTTCTGCTTTTCGGCTGAGGCATTGGTGTAATGCATTTATTTATCACTTCATGCTGTTGTTTGGTGATGGAATGATTCGTTTGCACTAGTCGGGATCTTGCCCCTGCATCTCCTTGCTCTGCCGCCAATCTATAGTATTTCTCTGCTCGACTGAAATCTCTTGGAGTACCAAATCCTCGCTCATAGAACCATCTGGTAGTATAGCACTTTTGGTTAGAGGGACACATCTTTACACTACTATGCCTTATACAAACCCTAACAAGGCCAATGCATCCACAAGTTCTGCTTTGGCTGCTCTCTCACACCACTGAAACGATAAATCTTCATTGATAGGTGTAGCAGCTAGCCAACCAGATACATCATTGTCCAGTCGAAACGCTTCATTGTTATCCCCTGGGCCATGATTGCCTCGGTTATGAAGACGACACAGACCCAGCATGGCTTTGGGATTGCCATTTAGAGCGGCTACTTCGTAATGAAAGTAGGCTCTTGCAAAATTCATGGACTCTCCATACAATCCATGCTCGTAAATGGAGCCCAACTTGGCTTGTGCTTTGGCATTGTTGAGGCTTGCAGCTCGTTCGTAGTATAAAATGCCAGCAGCTTTTCCACCGTATGCCTCACTTAGTTCACTATGGGTAGTGCATAGTATGAATAGATGTTTGCTTTGGAGTTGGTTGCTTACCTTGGCACATCGACTTGACTCTGTTCGTCGTTTGTCAGCATAAGTCCAAATGTATACAATGGTTCATTGAATTCTTCAGAGCAAAGCTTGCATGCATCATATATGAGCTTTAAGCCTTGCACTAAACTTTGTCTGGTTCCAAGTTCTCCCTTCAGCGTAATCAATGCCATTTTCTAGTGTATGTATGAGCCTACTGCGTGGCAGATACCATCCTTTGCACACTTACATAGATGGCATTCACATAACCTTGCTCTGCTGACGCTTTATAGTATCTCAAAACACGGCTAGGCTCCACTTTACCTTCTTCTTGCAGGTATTCAGCAAGCGCAAACACGGATTCAGGTATATCAGCTTTAGCAGCCACTTGATGCAACTGTATTGATTTCGTTTTATTCTGTTTGAAGCCGTACATTTCCTTGTCCATCCAGCGTGCTTGCATATAACATGCCTCAGCGACATTGAGTTTAGCGAGCCGTTTGATCCATTTAACACCTTCGTCCTCCAACGCTTTTCGTTTCTGAATACGTGTTTGATCTACAGCAGCCTTTTCTTTCGATGATTTGGTATTGCCATGTCGATCACGTTGCTGTGGCTGTTGCTTGACGAACAATGTCGTAGCAATGGTAGAAGGTCTGTCTCCATATATTGATGGACGAAACGATGTCACTGCATCAAACGACGAAGCTCGGTTCTTGTTGCTTGACTGGACGCTGTTGTAGGACGACCCATTCATAGCTTCTTCCTCTGTTATGCTGGGCACTACGAGGAAAGGGTCTGGTCTCTGCACCTTCTTGGTGGTTGTACCAAGGCCCCACATGCTACCCACAACCACAGGAGCAGCACTGGTTGATGCGTTTGGGAAGAATGCATTGGCAGTTTCGAGTAGATACTTTGCAAACATGAGCTGAACCGTGGTATCGTTTGTCTTTTCTGCCATGTCCCTGTATATTTTGATGGCATTTGGATCGTTTGTGAGGTGGTAGGATACCTTGGCATATTTTGAAGCGTTACTGGCAGCGTATTCGGTTGCTAATTGAGTGGATGTTTTGGGTGAGGTGGGCAAGGCGATGTCATTAATAGATGGCGAACAAGGAGCCTGCTGCTGCTGCTGCTGCTGCTGCTGCTGAAATGGTAACACCTTCATCTGCTGATCAGTGACACTTGTTGGCTATATACAGTTTCAAAGCTTAATTGGACAAAACAAGGGCGCACTCATCATATATCATTACCTCTTTCTGATAGTCTGCTTGTGGTTCGTGCATGCTTACTGCAACTGTCTTAGACTCACGATGTGGTAGAGTGGTGTATGGCCCATTTAAGTTTATGTGAGGTGGCAAATCAGGTACATTGCTAATTGATATGTGTTGCTGCTGCTGCTGCTGCTGCTGCTGATGATGATGATGATGATGATGATGACAGACATCAGTGACGCTTGCAACAATAGCCATAGCCACATCAGTTGTAGTAGGGGCTGATTTGCAAGTGTCCGATTCCGTGTCAGGGTTGGTGATTCTTAGTGTCAATCCTTGTTGAGGCAGAGTGGGTCGACGTCCTCCTTCGTCTGAAGAATCGGAATCGTAGCCAGAGCTCTTGTCTCTTTGGTCATGAGGTTTACTAGTGATGGAATGGATCGTGGGTGGCGTAATGGGCAGTGATGAACCAGTGGTTGCTGTATTGGAACTGGAGCTCTTGTACATTGGAAAATAAGATATTGTCATGACAGGTCTCTTGGAAGTGAGAATCAGATTGTTAACTACAGAGCTTGATATGTATAATTCTTGCAACGAGTAGAAGAAGAAGAAGAAGAAGAAGAAGAAGAAGAAAGAAAAATAACAAAGAGACAAAGAGTCTGGATATATACACATATGCTCCATGTTGATGGGCCTGATTTATTTATATACCACCAATATGTTTACTAACAAAACAAGTCAGTTCCGAGCATGAACAACATGGTAGTTAGCTCCTTAATTCCCTTTCAAGCAGTGGTAGATGGTAAATTTGCCAGTAGTCTGCTAATCAGCTTGTCTGCTTTGCATGCCATGACAATGTCTTCTTCAATCAAATTCAGCGACAATCGCATACAAATGTCCATTCGCCCGCTTTCCATGATCAGTGCTCTTGTCTGGCCCAGCGACTCACAGACACGCATCAGGTCACTGGTATTGGGTGGCTCTATATTATGCCATTTGCAGGTTTGAATATGGTAGTGTGCTACATCGCCAAACTCTATTTCGGCCAGACCTATCGCACGTGAGCGCTGCATACAGGCAACTAGAAAGATCTTTTGATGTAATGAGCATGAGCGAATAAAGGCGACGGAGGGAGACGAGAACATTTCCTTAACGGCTTCATCCACCACAGCAATGGTAACATGCTTGGTGGATCCATTGGATTCACTGATACGCTGTTCCACAATTTCCACGGCTCTCCGACAGATATCCAAAGCACGACGCGCATCGCCACTGACAGCACTCACTTTGCGAGCGGCAAATTCCACTGCTTCTTTGGCAAACGCATCAATGCCTTCCAAACGAGATTGCACAATCTTGAAGAGCTGATCATACTTGTAAGGCTGAAAGTTGATACGTGTCAGACCCATACGACTGGCAATCTTGTTGCTCATGATACGCTCTGGTAAATCCATGGTATTGGCTACTGCAACTACAATGAGCTTGGAGAGGGGTCGACTGGGCCAGTCGAAAAAGTTGTACATGACGGTTTGTTTCTTGGTAACCAACAGATCCAGCTCATCCATCAAGACCACACTAACATGCTAGGTTGAGCCTCGTTTTTGTCACTAATCAAATATCCAAAAGAACACTTACGTTGTTCGTTGATCGTTGCTTTGCTTTGAGAATTTGGCTTCCAGCATTTGTAAAGCATGTGCCGAAGTGTATCGTTTTCGTTTGCCATCGCAGTTTGCGTTGGATGCTCGCTCAATGCACTCCCACAATATACTGTAAGCTTGATTTGGATCTGTCAATTTCATGCCGTTGATCTCCACAAAGTCAAAGTCTGCTATTTCCTTCTGTTCTGCTTGATGTTGTAAATACCGAATCACTTCTAATACAGTTGCCGTCTTTCCTGTGCCAGGCACGCCTGATATATAGACGCATGTGCCCGTGGCTTCTTGGATGGCACTCTCTATATAGCCCATGATGTTGACAAATTCGTCCTCTCGACATGGCAAAGAATCAGGCACCGCAGAGACATGCAATCGCTCTCGGGCCAATGCATAAGGTGATAGATGGCTGTTGTCCCGTTTCTGTTGCACCTGTCGTAAAGGCAGCACTGGCATGGCTTGATTGACTCGATGAATGGTTCGATTGCCTGACATGGTAGATGGCTTTTGACGCTTCTTTGGTGTAATTGACTTGTTTGATCCTGCTGCTTTTGCTCGGCCTCCTCTTCCTGCTGTCACTTTTTTTCCAGATCTACTGCGTGGTTTCCTTGATGTACTGAACTCTTCATCCTCCTCTTCTGACTCTGACTCCTCTGACTCTTCTGACTCTTCCTCTGACTCTTCCTCTGATTCTTCTTCAGGTGCTGCTGCTGCTTCATAATCAGATCCTTCAGATTCAGGTTCGGATTCTGCCACTCTTTTCCTAGATTTTGGGGCAGCGCGTTGACCACTAATCCTTGTGTTGTACACCTTGTCCTTGGCTGCTCTTCTTGGTCGTTCCTTGACGATAACTACAGGTTTCATTTGGCTCTATCAATGGGTTCTGTCTATTGCTGTTAAAGTAGGTTTTTGAGGATTGTATAAGAGTCCAACATTTTAGAGACAAAAAAAAAACGGTACCAAAGCACTGTCCCAAAAATGAATGGCAATGCCGTAGCACGTCATGGCATTGCCTATGCGTTTTTTTCATTCTTTCACAAAAGTATACACAACCATATAAAATGACTGACGCAGGAGATTGGTGTTTGATTGAAAGTGATCCTGGTAAGGTCTTGCAATGATATTAAAGAGCTTCAACTCATGGCGATGTAGGTGTGTTTACTGAATTGATCTCCAATATGGGATGCAAAGGTGTACAGGTGGAGGAAATCTGGAGTTTGGATCCTGAATTCACAGCAGATCTTGGGTAGGCTGCCAGCAATCGATCTTTTTAAATGTCATACTTACACTGCTTATGCTACCACCTTGTAGACAAGTCTATGGACTTATTTTCCTGTTCAAATGGCAAAACAAAAAGAGCTATGCGCCTCCAGCTGATGAAAATGCTGATCATGTATTCTTTGCAAACCAAGTTATCAATAATGCATGTGCAACACAAGCCATTCTTTCCATTTTACTCAACAGAGATGACCTTGATCTCGGCGAAGAATTGAGAAACTTCAAGGAATTTACAGCTGATTTCCCACCTGATGTAAATACACAACGATGATAGCCATCTCGATCGCTGATATTGACCCACTTTAAAAATAGATGAAGGGTTTGGCCATCTCCAACAGTGAATTGATTCGTTCAGTGCACAACAGTTTTGCTAGATCAGATCCTTTTGTCAATGAGATGGTGGATCCCAATGCTGGTAAAGATCAAGATGTCTATCATTTCATTGCATTTACGCCGATCCATGGTGCGCTTTACGAGCTGGATGGTTTGAGTAGAGGTCCTGTGAATTTGGGTCCTTGTGATGACTCCAGTTGGGTCGAAAAAGCAAACGAAGCCATCAAGAAGCGCATGGAGAGCTACGGTTCAGCTGCATTGCACTTTAGTCTGATGGCCTTGATCAGAGATAAAGTAGAGCAAATGGAGGAGATGATTGAGGAAACAGATGGCATCCTGTTATCGTTATCTGAGGATGATGTGGAGGCAAGAAATAGAGCAAATCACAGTCGCATGATGTATGAACAAGTGTTACAGCAAGAGCAAGATAAGAGAAAGAAGTGGCACGTAAGTCTTGCTATGAATAGAGCGCTTATGTTCAGACGAATTGATGTTTTTACTGTAGAGAGAAAATGTATTAAGAAAACACAACTTTATACCGATTATCTACAACCTGTTGAGAAATCTTGCCGAGAAAGATCAACTAGACCCACTTGTTGCTCAAGCAAAAGAAAAGGCCAAAAGCAGAACTACCCAATAAAAATGAATTGAATTACACGTATACATAGCTGGAGCTGTCCTCTTGACGATGAAATGTAACATTGTGTCTTTAAATTGTTATTGAGGGTGAAAACGTAGGTCAAAGAGCACAACTCGGATTTGCGGCGTTTCAAATAGGCCTGACCATTTTGGATCCAACTCTATCTAAAATGGGATGTCTTTGAGATTATATTGAAGATATCTCTAAAGTTCAATAAGTTGTTGTTAATAGTATATTAAGTGAGCTTGTGTCAATTTTCTCTGTGAATCGAATGGTTATACTCACGCAAAAATTTGACTGACAAAATTTCGCGCTAGGAACAAAAACTCGAAAACCAGTTTTTCTGAAAAAAAGTCAACTTTCTCAATAAGCATCACGCAAATAAACTTTCTAGTATTAAAGAGCGTGATTCTCCAAGTGATTTGAGCTTAAAAACCTTTATGAAAAAATCTCATTTTCAGGGGTAAATTTCACGTTTCGTCCAAATGGCAATGTTTTAAGAGGTATTCCTCATGAAAATATCGGTGTTTTCGATGATCTGGAAAAAGCTGAGGAAAGTATATAAAATGAGTCTATTGATCCAGGAGATTTGTTTGGTACATGTATGAAAGTTTGATTTAGCCAACATCTCTCAAAGATACGCTCTTTAAAGCTCCCATTATTTGATGAAATGTGGCACATTTCATGATATGTTTGCTATGTGTTATTTTATAACTTTTACATATACCTAAATTGGGTGCTTGGCTATCTGATAGTTACACAAGTTCCACGATTTTAGATCAGTAGAACCGAATTTCGTTGAACTGAACGTCCAAATGTTGAACACAGAAGCTTAGTCGGTGCCACTAAACTTTTTTTCGAGTCGCGTACATCAAGAGTAAGAGGTCAGGGTGAAGAGGCAGGTGCAATCAAGATAAATAGATATGGACATCATATGGGATAAAATAGGATGAAAACTAGACTTATATAAACTAACTAATAATTTTCTTATTTTTACAGGAGGGAAGGGCACTGATCTTTTGCAATGGCCTGACGAACATTGGTTCGAATGCTGGCCAAACTGCATGTAGGCAAGCCACAATTGGTCAAGGGTGATGAAGAGGATTCTGTAGGGCTTCATTCCTGCAAATCGGCAATACCAAACGTCGGAGAAGTCAAGGGACAGAAGAGCCTCTTGATATCTTGGATGGAGATGAGAAACTCGAAAATGACTCTCCTGCCAAACTTTCTCTTTGGATGAACAATGAAAGAGGAGGTGGTTCGCGGAACCTTTCATAGACAAACAAACTGGGCAAAGAGGAGACTCAAATACCGTAAGCATAATGAAATGAAGAAAGCTGCGGTGAGAAATACACTCCAAGATGAAACGGCGTGCCACTCTAAACAATGAATTTAGCTCAACTTCTTGGTGTTTCATCACGACATAAATAGGAGCAGCCCTGAAGATTATCGAACAAACAATTCCAAGATTCCAAAAGCGTTCAGTCTTCTTGATTGATTCAACATAACATGCACATGGACTATGAATTTATAGCAGTTGCGAATATACAAGCGTGATATGGCTCGTCATATCAATGTGATCCTCTGTTGCGATTCCTTTTCGTCATGAACTGATCTCTTTTCAGATTTTACTACGGATTTTTGCTGTATAAATGACTAGATCAAACCATGCTCATGAAAGTGTAAAATTTATAATAGCCAATATTTATATATGCAAACAGTATAAAGATAATATGGTGCTACAAACATGTCGTCTGATTGCTATGGTGAGAGGCCGCTTTGACCAATTATTTTGTGAGATTAACAACCATCAGTGCCCCTTTCATGTATGTTTGTTACATTTGAATGTTGTGATGACTATCTAACAAGAGAATTAGGTTCCTGATTTGAATTTGATCTAAAGCGCACATGTATGTCATGATCCTTTGGATTCTCTGCGATGGATAATGTGTAGCAGTGTGTTTGAAAACAAAGCTTATACAGTGCCCCCCCCCCACTCCTGTAGTGCTAGTAAGATACAGCTTTCCATTTGTTTGTTTGTGTTCGGTATGTAATTACACTCAAGGGATGAGTCAAAACGCGTATATTTGTTTGTACTGATTACAAGCTGGTTCGTGCCTGTTTAATTCGGCCGCGCATTCAAACGAAAGGAATGATGATAACACATGCTCTTTATCACCTTCGACGACAGAACACAACGGACGTACGTGAACCTCGATTATATGTAAAATGTAAAGGATGACTTTATTGTAAAAAAAATTGATGCATGATATATAAAAATAAGTTAATAATGACCATTATTTAATATTGTTGGATTGATTATGGATATATATATATGTATATAGAATTGTGGCAAAGTACTAATTCTGTAATAATGAGCACTCACTAAAAGTGTCTATAAACTATCGTTCAAAGATTCCTTTGCGAGGCATTCTTGGATGGTTGAAGTCAAGCTGAACATATATTCTGCTTTTCTTTTCTTTAGCAAGTGCTAAAGCCTTCTTTTTCTCTTCTTCCTTCTTTTTCTCTTCTTCCTTCTTTTTCTGTTCTTCCTTCTTTTTCTTCTTCGCATCTACTGGTTTCTTTGAAGCAGAAGGTTCTTTGTGTCGGCAATGGCAGTGAGGAACTGGCCTGGCCTGATTACAGAAGTGGGCATTGGCATTCACGTTATAAATGATCAGTTGCTGCGGCATTTGGAATTGGCACCAGGGCAATGTGTAGTGGATTTGTAACTTGGGTTCTTTAGCAGGAGGAGCATCAGCATGAGGTGGTGGTTTATGCTTTGATTGTTTTGTATATATAACGAAAAAAGCAGATAAGAGAAGTGTTCAATGTGCTTGATCTCATACAAAATTACTTACCTTGATTAACGAGGTTCCGAATGGGTCTAGCCAGATGCTGTTCATGCTGATGAAATGAAAAATGAAGGTTGGTTATTTATACTTTTTTTTCAGGTCATCGTCATCTTTGTGAGAGACATGATATTCATTGTGTATGTGTTGGTACAATATTCTACTTTGTACAATGTAAAAAAGGGCAATTGCTAAGTAGCCATTGTGTATCATGACGAAAAATTGTGGCACACCAATTCGTTTTCAAGTTGCTTAATTGGGCTTGTCAATCTTTTTCTTTTACAGTGCAAATAAATCAGTTGATTCAAGATACTGTAATACACAGACTCTAAGTAACACATCTCCCGGAAATATATTCCTTTCGGTTTTATTTGGAATCAAATGTGTGTAAGATTAAGCTTTATTAAATTGTAATTAGTAAATTAGAATAAGGGACATGAATGAGGGAAAATTTAGAGAGGAAGAGAAAATTGACAAGGACTATAAAAGCGAAGCAAGACATTGGATTTTACAAGATAATACAATTCTTCTTCTTAAGGAAAGATGGCTTATGACGGTGCTCGGGTGACTTGATGGTCTTCTTTGGAACATCGGGAGCCTTGGCGGATGAGGGCATAGTAGGTTGAGTAGATGAACCAACTGCTGCTTCAGGACGCTTCACCTTCTGAGAAGGATTAATGATGCCATATACGTCGACTGAAGGGGCTTGCACTGCTGATTTAATGCAATATTGCACATTTTCACTCAATTTAGATACCTCTGGTGTGGTTAATTTGGCTGTATTGGCTGCTGATTGAGGGGTCGGTGGTAATGGAGCTGATTTGTTGTTGATCTTGCTATCGGTAGCTGTAGTTGTGGTGGTGGTGGTGGTGGTGTTGCTATTGCGGTTACCAGATTTATGGCCACCAGCTACAGCAGCTGTTGCTCCAACAACAGCAGCTTCAACGCCAGCAGCAGCCTTTTTGAGTGGATTCTTACTTGAATCAGAAAGGTCTTTGTTGTTAGCAGTTGCAGTTGGAACTTGAGCTTGTTTATTGTTAGCAGTAGCATTGGGAGGCAGTTTGGCCTTTTCCTTGTAATCACCAGCAGCGACATTGCTCTTGATTTTATCAATAATGCTATACAAATCAATTGATCCTGAAGCAATTACTGTTTTGATTGCATATTGAACATTTTCGGATAAAGGAAGAGGTTTAGGAAGTGAAGCAAAACCACCAGAATGGCCTGTAGCAGCGGTAGTGGCACCTACAGTAGCAGCAGCAATTGCAGCACCAGCAGCAGTGGCACCAGCAGCTCCTGGACCAACGGGACCTGCAGCAGGAATGTTTTTATCATGAATGGAGCCTTCAACTGGACCAGCTGTAGATGTAACAGCAGCAGCTTCAGGAGCAGCAGTACCAGCACTGTCAATAGGCTTCGCAGGTAATGATGTAGCAAGAACCGATCCTTCGCCAGTCAACGTAGATGTATTAGCAGGTGTTGTTTGCGTTTCTGTCATGATGGCAGGACTGACATTGCTGGAGACAGTAGCAGGTTCATCAATTGGCATAGCAGGCAATGAAGTAGCCAAAACGGATCCTTCGCCAGTCAGTGTAGATGTATTAGCGGGAGTGGTTTGAGTCTCTGTGATGATGGCTGTATTGCTAGGAGCGGTCCTCTCTGCAATAGAAGCGATGGGATCCATATTTTCCTTATCTGTCAAATTAGGAGTGCTTATTTCAGATGCAGTATTTGAAGAGTCTGTGGTGTTTTGTTTCTTTGCCTTCTTCTTTGCCTTCTTCTTTCTGTTCTTTGCTGTGTTGGGATTAATTGCCGAATTGATGTTATTCGTGAGATCAGACATGTTGATTAAATGAAACAAAGAGAAAAGAGAGGGAAAAAAAGAGAAATATGTCAAATGCTAGCATGAAATACGCCATCTGTCCACATTCCTCATTGGACTAGTTTTTATTATTTATCATCATATGAATTCAAATGTCTGAAATGCAACCACTTAGACCTTTTTGCGCTTGATGAAACCACTAGAGAGCATGTTGATAGCAGGTCTTTTATCCGCGCTATTATCATTTACAAGGATATTTATTCCAGTGGCTGCTTTGCTTTCAATGTTGATTGGCTGCAAGTCTGGGAACATGTCGTTGATGCATTGCATTATTGATTGGGTTGACTCTGCATTGGTCTCATCGCTGTGGAAATCAAGTGACATGAACTTGTTCCAAAACACTGTAAAGTCTCTATTCTTGACGACCAATGCATTATTTTCTATGTCTGCGCTGAGCGATTCATCCACGAGCCTCACTTCAAAAAAGCCAGTTATTTTCCCTGATCCACATTCTTCTCCAAACGACAAAATGCTCCAAAAATCATGCACTGTCATATCTTGCTCTTTGGTACTCTTCAGTAAACGTGATTTGGCATCATCGTCGAATCGAGGAATCACTTGTTCTGCAATGGCATCTGAGGCGTATGATGTCCCGTAAGTCCATTTCACATTGTCAGATGGTGTCCATCCTCTCTTTTTGGCGCCAATTTCAACTAATGCGCTGTTGCTATCCTCAATGCCTGGCACAGACCACCATCCTTCACATTGCACAGAGAGTTTGTTGAATACAGACAGCCACCACGATACTAATTGACGATCATCTAGCACTGATTTTGCCTTGTTTTTCGCTGATTTGGCAAAGAGATACTGTGGTTGGGCTCTAGCAAAGACAAAGATGCTCGAATATCTCGGTAGACTGGAAATATAGGATTGCACTACACGTGCAGTCAAGCCTTTGTATTTTTTCCAATTGGATGTAGTATCGACTTTGGATATATATATCACGCGTTTATCGGCGGATTCTGGTGATGAAAGGACATACTCATAGGTCTCTAAGCCAGTCAAAAGGCCTTCGTTTGCTGTTGATACTAAGATGAGACGATGTTGACAATGTGTGTCTCCCTTGTGAGCTTTTATCAATGGTGAGGCGCATTTGAATACACTGGATTTGATGTCGTGAATCTGGAATAGGGTTCCTCCTCCAGCTGTTTCTAGGCTTTTCTTGAGATTTGATTCAAATGACATGATAGTAAACCAAAATAGAATAAGAAGCAAAAGAAGAAAAACTTTTCAACATTGCACAATTCGCCACTGTTTCACAAATAGTTGAACATGGCGCTTATTAAAAGCCAAGAAGTAGGTTTGAATGATGAAGTCAGGCACCGCTCTTAGACCATTCTTGTCAATTAGTAAAAGCCGCGCCTCATTGTAGTTCTTTATCTCAAGCCATCACTTGATGAATAACCTGATATAATCTGGCGTGTGAAGTTGGTCGATTAACTGTCGACTGATGTGTATGAATGTAAAAATAGACATGCTATGTAACTCGACATCATTCGGTATTGAAACCAAAAACCTACCTAATCCCAGGCTCTCCTTTTTCTTTCATAGTAAAGATACCTTTCCAAGATTATAGTGCCCTCTATACTTTATTAGGCTTGCTTCTTAGAAGATGTTATGAATTCAAACACTCAACAATCTGGGGGTAGAGAACCAGATTTTTGAAAGATAATATTATAGGTGCTGCCCAAATGATGAGGACTCATTTTGTAGAGCAAACATAGGAGTGCAGTTGGCAGTTGTGCAGATAATAGTATCGAAACACTGGTTTTGTTCTATCGTTTACTTTACACTTTACTCGCTTAATTATGTGATAGCCAATTTATTAATAACTGAAACCCTGTTTATATATTTAGCAACCCCTCAAAGTGAGCATATAATCATTCTGATATGAAGTCTTCAGCATCAATGTAGGGCATAAAAAATTTATTCCCCTCTTTTGGAAAAATACGCAACACACCTTCGACCCTTTTTCAAACCACAATGAAGAACGATATGGTCGAATGGTTTTCATTGCATACTTTTTCCAACATATAATCCATCCGATCTGACATTCGTAACTAATTGTTATAAACAGCTTTCAACAATAGGTTTTATACAGGGCCTTTGCTCAAAACTGTCTCATTTTGAAAACCATCCGTTTCTGAAATGGATGTTAAGCCAAACGGTTGCATTTTATTTTATACTTTTAAATAAAAAAGAATTTAAATTGTATCTATTAAGATACCCTTTTATTACAAGCACAAAATCATATTAAATGCTAGATCAATAGGAAATCAACTAGTTGTAGGCCTTCGTTGCTTCGACCTCTCAGCCAATCAAATCGCTTGAAAACTCCGCTGACCTAAAAAAAATTTTGCGAGGGTTTCCCCCCTGTTTTGATGTGAGGCAAAATTTTAAGCTCCGCCATATAGTAATATAGCTGTTACTATCATCAAATTTCCCCCAGGTGCTAGAGCATGCCTTACTTACACCACCTAGCTTTAAATTCAGGCGTTGAGACCCTCAATCATCACTAAAGTAAGTAGAGATAACCAAGTGGAGGCGGCCTATCTACCTCCTAGTCTCGGATAGAGTCTTGTTGAGCTTCAGGGATAGGCACATCCACACAACGTAAAAAAATATGCCTCAAAGAAACATAATCAAAGGAACAAATGAACATAATACTATAAGAGTATAGTAGCATGTAAGCAAAAAAAAAAAAGATACACTCACACGAAGCGAGTCAAAGAAAAGCATAACAAACACAACATCAAAGATGTTTAAAAAAACTCGTTGTTGTTGTTGTTGTTGCAATAAAATTGCATACATGAGCAACGCGCATGGTAGTAATAGTCGGATGTAAAGCAACATGGCACAAATACGCACAACTGCAAAAGCAACAGTGACATTATAAGTTTGCATCACAACATAATGACTAAGGTTGTTTCATGTTAAGCTACAGAGGAAACACTACCAAGAAAAGAAAAAAAAAGAAGAAAGCGCAACAAGGCAAACATCATGAATGCATTATCACGAGAAAGGAAGCAATAATACAAGCGTCCAAAGAAGTTTTATATCATTGCGACCAGAAGAAAGAAGATACCACTTACCACAGCCACAGATAAACCAGAAGAGGACACGAAATCACCGGAGACAGACCAAAGAACGAGGAGCATGCACCAAATACAGCAGACCAGGAAAGACCAGATTAGCAGCAGCAGCAGCAGCAGCAATACCAGCACCATAGAAAAACTATAGAACGAACGTTATCAGCAAAGAACAGACAAAGACCAAAGCAGTTACTTACTGCTTATCACCACCAGAGATAGACCAGAAAAGTATAGGTAATCACCAGAGATAGACCAGAGAACAAGCATACTACAACAAATAGAGTAGACTAGGAAAGACCGGATTAGCAGCAGCAGCGGCAGCAACACCAGCACCATAGAAGAACCAAAGAACGAACAACACCAGAGACCAGACAAAGACCGAAGAAGCAGGCAGCAGAGATGGCAGAGAATTAATGGCAGCAGCACTCACTCAAGCAAGCAAAAAATACTAAAACCTAATAAACAAACTCAATTAGTGTTAATTTTATGTCTTTCAGTGCTCGTTATCGAATGGTACCTAATATATTCCACTTCAAAGAAGCAGTATCAAGTTCTTCCGACAGTACAAGACAGAGTTATCGGATGCTAGAGTGCTATTATTAATTAAACGATGTCCAAAACCACCATGGTTTGATACTAAAACGCGTTTTGCAAAAAGGGTAAAAAAAAAATGGAGGCATGGAAAAATGAGAAGGCGCCCTATCCGACGTCACGGCCAGTAGATTTAGTCTCAGTCTTGTACCGTAGCAGCCATAATTGCGGCAATTTAATTTGACATTGTGCAGTGGTATCTTAGTGTTCAAACTTGACTTGATCTCACACCCTTTAAACGTTTTTGCTAAATTTGACTAAAAAAGTTGTCGTCGCTATACTTTACCTACTAATGCGTTTATAAACAGTTAATAAAGGCGCATCAAACGATGCTGGTTACATTCAGCTTTCAGACTGAAAATAATGAGTAATTTGCAAAAATTTGAAAACAGGTTTTCTGTAAATATGTCAAAATCTAACATAAATAAGTCTTTTGGAAAGAATTTCCAGTGTTGCATTTCGTCTTTACGATCAATTTGATCTGATATGTATCATAAAAAAAGTCTTCATTATCAGGGTGAAAAACGCGATTTTTTGATTCTCAAGAATTTTCCCTTGCTAATACTCATGAAAAAACGACGATTTTCATGGATTTGCAAAGGCCCAAAAAAATTTGAGATAAAGCATCAGGAAGTAAAGTGTGGTTAAGAAGAGTAATTTAGCGCTATTCCAAGAGCCTAGGACACTTTGTGGCATGAGTTATTCGTGTTTGAAACTGTTTGGATCTGAACAGAATTTGACCTAAAATGAAGGTGTAGTGGGTTGCGTTGCCAGAAGAGTAAGTAAATTACACTTCTCTCTGATGAATCAAATGTTCTACATTGCATGGAACTCAATTTCCAAGTAATAGGCGCTTTTATTATTCTAATTCCAAGGCTCAGATCTTGCTTTTTGAAATAATGCACGATTATAGTAATTTTGACACTGGAGCGTCAATAATATTACCCAAATTTGAAGTTAATGTCTTGCTCGAATTGATTAAGATGCTCATCAGGTTAGCAGGATGCTTTTGATGGTCGTCCACAACAGAGATATGATATCTAGCAGTAAAACTAGAATTAAAATCTATTCACAATGTTGGATGCTCATGATTATTACGGAGAAATGGCTAATACCGAACACGCTGAGTGAGTGTCAGCACAATTGGGGATCCAACAACGCAAATTTATATCAAACTTGAACGAGTAGATATCCATGATACGTACAATTCTTATGATACAAGAAACGACATCCACGGACTGTATAAAAATTGGATTTGAATGGTTTCACGGAGCTACAATGTCGAAAAGGCAAAATATCCAGAATCAATCGTTCACACGCTATTTTTTTGCTACAGTAGTGGTGCATGTAAGTTTTCTGTTATGCTTCAACATTAGTCAATATACGCGCTGGATTTATTTTATAGGCTTGAGCACAGTATTACGAACGCTTCTGCGTTGTCGTTATTGAAGAAAGATGTATTTTTGTCATGGCAAACTCCATTTTTGAAAAGAAAGAATCGCAGTAGGTATCCTAACGTGGTCTCATTTTGTAGAGCAAACACAACATGGGAGAGACAACATTTAATAATTAATAGAAAAGAAGCTTGGTTGAATTGGTAGTTGTACAAAAGATAATAGTGTCGAAACCTCAATGAAGTGAACTAGACTAGATTCCCATCATAAACAAAGCCCAAAATAAATGTCATCTCAATTAAACCATGCTACCATCAGCAGATAGGCATGCATAATAATAGTATTAGCATGATGATAGCAAGGGCTAAATGCTCTAAAATAAGAGATGACAGATACTAAAGTAAATGTCAAGGGTATTGTAATGTGTTGTAACATAAATATACCTAAAAAGGATACAGGCTCAACAGTAAAGAGCTATTCTTTACGCATGGTTCAAAAACCATATATTGAAATACCGTCCTTGATCCATCAGATCAACAACTAAATGACCCAACAAAAATATATAAAGTAATGGAATCACTGGCAACTACTAAACTGCTGCCAGATAAGAGATATAGACCAAATAATATAAATAGAGACGTGGAATATACATTTTATTGCACATTATCCTAATTTTGAATAAAGAAGGATTTTAGCAGTATTCTACCTGCTTTTTTAACCCCTTTTTTACTGCAGAGTTGCCATTAATATCTGTTGCGTTTGAAGTGGTGGCGTGGGCAGCAGCAGCGGTGACTGTAGCGGTGGTAGTTGTGGCAATAACGGCAGCAGGAGTGCTAGTAGTATTGGCTGCATATACTGTAGCTGGTTTCCCTTGAGATTGTTACACAACGTTTGTGAGCATTTAGCGACGAAGAGCAGAAGAAGGACCACGAGGGCGAGCAATTACGCGTCTTTCAGCTGGAATGGAAGCAGTGAGAAGAGGAGCAGCTGCAGAAGCAACAGTGGCAGCAGGCAAACCAAAAGAAAACAAATCACCATCATCGGTAGCCCAGTCCATGGCAAGTGGCTGGCAAACTGGAGAGCACAAACCACAGGGATCTACGTCCAT